CCTAGGGCTGCAAAAGGTTACGCAGACAAGATTTATTCTTTCATAAACTGTGCCTCTTTGTCCTTACGATTTACTTGTGCTTAGATGCTCTATAATTCTCTCCAGATTGTATGACCCTCCTCGCCGGGAACTGTCCAGTTTTTACATCTCAAAACTTGTGAGCTGGATCAAAGAACTGCTTCAAATGTGACAAGTTTCCAACACGGATAGCCGTTTTATGAAAGAAAAAAGTATGCTAATCATGCGTGGGTCACCAAGCGCAAGAATCCCACATGCCTATATTGCTGTGTGTTCATTAGGAATGGGAGAAATTTGATTCAGTTTGTGTTTAAAGATGAACCTACCTAATCCATACTTTCTGAAACAATATGCAGTCCTTCAAGGTTTGTTCTTCTCCAAATTTTGCCATGCAGTCTTCCAGCCAAGTAAGGGGTACAAAAATGCAGAGGCATGCTCACTATGTGAAAATTCACTTATCCAAACATAAAGAATTATGCCCAAACCTTGCTCCACAGATTCAGATATCCAAACTGCCCACTTCCTTACTTCCTTGCTTGAACAGCTGAAGAGAAAAAGAGAAGCTGCCTGGTGGTGAAGGCTGGTAGTGGAGTCTTACTGCAAGAAACCCAAGATGCATCACTGTGAAGGAGCCTGATTTGCATGTTGGGTACATCTGCAATATATACTTAATTGAACTGTTGTAATACGTTAACCAACAAATGGTACTAAAGGCACTGACGCCTTCACCCCAGCCACTTTCAACAGCTAAGAAAAGTAAGAGCTAGGCTGGCTCACCAGTGGCACTGGGAGCACATAGGTACGATTCTGGACCAGAAAAGAAAACCTATCATTTTTCTCAGGTTTGTGCATGTATAGATCCACAGAGTAGGAGAGAATATATCCATGCCTACTGCTAACCAAAGGTTTATGTATGCTTTTAAGAAAGTATATTTTATTTAACAGAATATATAAATTGCATAAATTTGATTTACGTTTTCAATTCAGGGTTCCCTGAAGCATTATGCGCAGGAAATAAGATAATAATTAGCATACGTTGGTGCAAGAAACTCAAAATAAATGTAATGTCTAAATCACCTCTTGCTTTCCAAGTTTATGAGACAGCTGTTCATAGGTGTCAATGCATATTGTCATTAGGAGCATATGAAATGAAGTTCCTGCAGATGGCATGCAAGCTCTGCAGTTCTTCTTTGCCTCTCAGAAGTCAAATATTGTCTGTGGTTCCCCCCCACCAAAGAGTGAAATAATATAAACAATAGTCCAAAGTCTAGAACTTCCAAGGATTTCTACTTCTGAAATACTTGTTGCCATGCCTCAGTCTTACGTACTTACGGACCATTCTGGAGGTCCGTTCGTAACTGGAAACCGCTTGTAACATGAGGCACACTTTCTCTAAATGGCGCCTCCTGTTGCTGCTGCGCCGTCGGAGCGCGACTTCCGCTCGCATCCCGGGGCAAAGGTCGCAACAAGAGGCATCTACTTCCGGGTTAGCGAAGCGCGTAACCTGCAGCATTCATAAGGGGGACGGTACGTAACATGAGGTACCACTGTACCTTGTATTTAATATTATGGTTTACTCCCTCAAATATTGATTAAAAAATAATTATGGAGTTAAGGCCATGTGTTCACCCATGTTCTTGGTGGATCTCAGACCAGAGCACCCAGCATAAAGGTGTACCCACATCCACGCAATATTTTTAAAGCACATGGCTTCCTCCAAATAATCATGGGAACCACAGAGCTACATTTCCCAGCAACTACAATTCCCAGAATTCTTTGGGGGATGTAATGTGCTTTAAATATTTGGTGTGGGTGTGACTTAACGTTAATCTCCAATTTGTTTCCTTTGTTGATGATCAAGGATGCGTACCTCTTTATCATTCTCAAAGCTGCCATTTGGGAAGCGACAAATTATTTTCACTAAAGGGAAGTTGAGATATTGCTGCAGACTTGATCATGCTTAGAAAGGGAGCCTGGTTTTAATTTTTCTGCATTGGCTTGTTAAACACTGGTCACAATAGGGATTGTTGAGATCAAATAAGGAACGAATGTTTAAAATGTTTTTAAAAAACCTTTCTCCAGCTTTTCTAAAGGGGGATGCTGAGATAAATAAATGTTATCTTCCGATAAATAAATAAAAGGCTAACATGAACAAAGAGCAGCCAGAAGCCGCCCAACTCTGACTATGTCTTCCATATGTTGCAAAAGCCACCCCTCCCCAGCAGAAACAAGATAATAACTGTTCATTTAATTTACATTGGAACTGAGAAAGAGAGACCTGGTTTAGGAGAATCTAGCAATGTTTCGTCTGCCTGACCTGGATGCAGACTTTGGAATTGCTGCGTTGTTTTTCCTCACCTAAATCTAACCCTTCCTTGTGGTAGCAAACACATATTCCTGATGTGTTAGGAACTGTGTTTGCTGCTCTCTGTTAACTCCAGCCAGTAGCTTTGTTTATAAATGCTTGTTGATTTTCCTTCCAGACTAGTATAATTAAGTACACTCGAGACAGCTGGTGCAAATGCACTCCTGATTTTGAGTTAGGTGTCTGGAGCAGCCGTCCCAGTCCATTAGGCAGAGGTAAGCAAAGGCATTGATCAGTTGCAGATCCAAAATGGGCTCACAATAGGAAACGTGGACCTGCTAATGTTTTCTGTCTTTTGAAAAAGCACGTCTTGAACATCAAAGTTTTCCAGATTTGTTGTCTTCCAAAGGCCTGCTTCCAGACTGAAAGGAGTGGAGTATTTTGTGGGATGTGTCGGGAACTGATATGCTGAAGGATGAACACAGACTTTCAAATGGAGCCCAGAGCGAAGAATGACATAAAATGGAACAAAATCCGTGGCCCATTTTCATGTGTTGGAAAACATGTGTTGGCAGTTCCATTTCTGTCTTGGCTGCAGCGTTTGTCAATGCAGTCATGCATATGTCCTCTATGCAGTTAAACACAGGCACATAGAAAGCTGGGACTGGAATCCTGAGCATACTTCCTCGTAGCCCTATTGAACACAGTAGAAATTACTTCTGAGTAAACATACATAGGGTTGTTCGCTAGTGTCAGTCTTAGAACGAGGTTGGGACCATTGTTTTCCCCCCCATGGAACCTGCACTCCTATGGAACTGATGGGCTCTCAATGTTGCAGGAATTGGCAGTGCCCTTGTGGTTGACAAACCAGCATGGTCAATGGTCAAACTTGGTCAATGGTCAAAGGCTCATCACCCCATAAACCCCTAGAAAAGGCAGCCACAAGGAATTGTCCCAGATCATAAAAGCAATTGTTCTATTCATTGAGTACATGCATATCTTACTCTTTCTCTAGCGGTTGAGATACAACAGGTTCCCCTATCTGTACAAGGCAATTCATAAAATGATGGTGATAATGTATGATGTTGTCCCATTTTATCTTTACAACAGCCCTGTATAGGTAGGCTGGGCTAAGAGATGGTGGCTGGCTCAGGTTTGAGTCACCATTTGAACTGACGTCTCCATAGTTTAACTCACACTTTCCATTAAGTCACCCTGTTGGAGCATGCCTCTTGCATGGTAAGGGGAATGGGTGAACAGAATGGTTGGGGCTGAATCCTAGTTTTGTACAGTTCTATATCACACAGGGAGTCTCCAGGAGTAAGGCAGGCTCTCCACATCAGACTTTGTCCAACAATTCATGGAGAGCAATGGACCTAGTAATGCAAGCAGTGGAACAAATCATTGGCAGTTACCTTTATGTTGCCTTTATGCATAACCATGTGTGGCTGGTTTGTTCAGCTTTCAGCTCTATGTTCCTAGCTGCCACTACCTGTTCTCCATCTCATTGGCTGGTCTGGAACTCTTAGATCCCTTCATTCCAAGACTGAAAAGAGATGATCCTTAGGTAGTAGGCATCCTTGGTAGCCTTAAGATCAGGCCTTGGTGTCCTTAAGATCAGACCTGCACAGCTTGTTACCCACCAAACCAATCACGGTTAGATAGCCAGGAGGTTGTTAAGCCTCAAGATCTTACTGCTGTCCATGACTGCAGAAAAACAACAACTAAACAAAGGTCCACATACCAAACCAATCAAGAGGTTAAGCCATCTGGCAGGCCACAATACACAACCAATGATGTGTGTTCAGCTTAGTGAGTCACAAATTGAGCATGCCTGCATTTGAGCTATCTTGTCCCATCTGTTATTCCATATTAATCTGTGGCTACATCAGATTCCTTAGCCTAGAGAAAAATAACCTCAACTATCACTGAGGTCACCCCCCAACCCAAGCTGAGTCCAGCAGACCTGGGTTAAATTTGCTGTGGAATTTCATGCCTTGATGAGTCAGTTCCCCAGGAGCCTTTCACTTCACTGAAGGAATGTGCTAGGCACACTCTGTTTGAATGGTCCCCCTTCTCTGTGCATGCAGACTTGAGTTGTACAGGCAAGGAATTTATTAAGCTGCCAACTTCATGCAACCTGAAGTTGGGTGTCAGCACATACTGAGGAGACCCAGCTATATTTCTTTTTATTGTTTGAGGACATGCTGGCCTGGTTTCTGGCCACTGTAATTGGAGGAATGAGGGCTAATAAACTGAGACTGATCCCTGACAACATGGAGGTACTCTCCTTGGGCAGTTCTCGGGTCCATAGCTTGGGGAGGGGGAGGCTTCTAGATCCAGCTTTGTCACTAGAACCCCAGCTATCTTCAGTGGCTTTCCTAGATAGTGCCTTTCCTAGATAGAGATAGTCTCTGGCCATGGTAATCCATGCTCCAGTAACCTCCTGACATTCAATGTGGGGCTGCTCTTGAAGACATCCCAGAAACTGCAATTGGTATAGAATGCAGCTGCTACACTGTTAGGCAGTGCCCTGGTTCGAAATCTGTCATACTTCCAGCTAATACATTTCCTGTCCATAAGTTTTAAAAGTATGGTGCGAATGTGGACAGTGGACAGCCTTCTTGGAAATGTGGACACCGCTGACTCGTGGCATTGGACCGAGCCCCAAGGGGAGGGAGAGGCTCATAGCTCACTGGTAGAGGATTTGCTTTCCATGTAGAAGATCCCGGGTTCAATCCCTGACATCTCCAGGTAGGGCTGGAATTAGGGTTGCATCTTTGTTCCAACAAAATACAGGCCAGGGTGGGGAAGTTGGGGGATGATCCCCCCTCCTTCAATCTGGTGCTGAAGTGAAGAGCAATCCATTACAATCCATTGCAGCCTAATAGGATGGTCCCTCTGGAATTGGACCTTCCACACAGGGTTGTCTTACCCATAGAGGCTAGTGGCGCGGGGTGCCAGGGCGCCAAGTTATGGAGGGCACCAGGGAAGAGGCGGAGGCTGGACGCAGCGCCTCCTGGCATCAGCTCACCACCCTCGCCCGCCTCCGCCATGCCTCGCTGAAGCAGCGCCGCACCTGGAGCCTCCGTCTGCCGTGGCCAGCTGGGCTGAGAGATGCCGCGTCCAGCCTCTGACTCTTCCCCGCAGGAGGAGCCGCCCTCCTGCCGCTGCCCTGTGTCCTCCAGCCCTGCCGGCAGCACTGTTCTCACTGGGAAAAGGGGGAGGGGGGCGCCGGAGGGAGCTTTGCACCACAGCGCCGGATATGCTTAAGACAGTCCTACACCCACCCAAGTTTGTAAATTTGTCTGTTCTTGGCTACCCAGACCTTAAATGCTTGACCTTTCACACACCCTTTCAAATATATGCATTTGGAGGCAGTCCCTAACTTGGCAGGGAGAGAGGGAGAGGGAGAGGGAGAGGGAGAGAGAGAGAGAGAGAGAGAGAGAGAGAGAGAGGACCTGAAATACAGGACAAAACTATATCATTACAGGACATAGCATTTTACTACGTCCTCTATTCTATTCAGACAGGCAGCAAACCTAGCCTGGAACTGACTCCTACCTGGAGAGCTGCTGCCATAGGAATGAAGAACCTCCATCCAGATCTGGTGGGACTACACCTCCCATCATCCTTGACTGCACTGAGGCTGATGGGAGTTGGGAATCCAACAACATCTAGAGAACCACAGCTTCCCCATCCCTGGTGTAGGCATCACAGTGCTATGTGGACCAATCTTCTGATTCAGCATAAGGGAGCTGCCTGCCTACCTCATTGGCTACTGCACTGCCATTCCTTTTCAGTCAGCATTGTGCAGTGAACAGAAATTCCCCTCCACAATTCCCTTTCTTCCCCCTCCTTTTCCTCAGCTCCTTCAGGCTTGGGGATCATCCAAGGAAGCCCTCTGCCTCCAGACACAGGGAGAGAAAGGGAAGCTCATCTTCACCAAACACATCATTAACTCGCCAAATGGTTTGCTGGGAGATATGCAGCAAGGAAGCCAATCTGATATAAGGAAGCCCAGTGCTTTGGATTTGGACAAGACTGGGGGGTATGCATGTCTGTGTTACCAATGGCATCATCTGTCACCTAGGGTTCTTTTGAGGACAAAATGCCATCCTGTGTTCCTTGGGTTGCTTCCAGGTGACCTGGTTATGGAGCAGTCATCCTGATTTGTTTGCTGGCAGACTTAAAACTTTACTATGAATCAGCCGCTTTTTGCTGGCTGAGAGAATGGATGCTTCTTGAGAACACTGATGTGTTGGATTTAGAAGGCTTTAACAATGTCTTTGGGTGGCATGCATATTTGTGGTATGATAAGGTCAAAGCACATAAAGCGTTTAAAAACCATATTGTCAGAAAAGCACTGTTTAATGTTTGGATAAGATATAAGGATTTGCTTGAGAATAAAACCCCAAGGTGGCTGTCACCAATGGAAGCGAAGGCTCAGAAAAAGCTCAATATGGAGGCTAAATGGCCGAAATATTGGGAAATTTTGGAACAAGAGGGAGACAGATTAAAACTGCAGAGTTTTGAAAAATTAAAAAATAGAGTGCGAGATTGGCTTCATTATTATCAGATAATGGAGGCATATAATTTGGATTAAAAAAATGGTTTCCAGGTGGAAAAATCAAAATTGGAAATAGAACTGTTAGATTCCAAAACTAAGAATTTGTCAAGAATGTATAATTTGCTGTTGAAATGGAATACTCAGGATGAAACGGTCAAATCTGTTATGATTAAATGGGCACAAGATGTTGGACATAACATTATGATGGCTGACTGGGAACAGTTATGGACCACAGGTATGAAGTTCACGGCATGTAATGCCTTAAGAGAGAATATAATGAAAATGATATACAGGTGGTACATGACACCAGTCAAGCTTGTGAAAATTTATCATTTGCCCGAAAATAAATGTTGGAAATGTAAAGAGACGGAAGGTACATTCTTTCACCTTTGGTGGACATGCCCAAGGATTAAGGCTTTCTGGGAGATGATCTACAATGAAATGAAAAAGGCATTTAAATATACCTTTCTGAAGAAACCAGAGGCCTTTCTCCTGGGCATGGTCGGCCAATTGGTGTCAGAGAAGGACAGAAATTTCTTTATGTATGCCACAACAGCAGCAAGAATACTTATTGCAAAGTATTGGAAGACACAAGATCTACCCACTCTGGAAGAATGGCAGATGAAGGTGATAGACTATATGGAACTGGCGGAAATGACTGGCAGAATCCGAGACCAGGGAGAAGAGTCGGTGGAGGAAGATTGGAAGAAATTTAAAGACTATTTACAGAAACATTGTAAAATTAATGAATGTTAGAATGATGTTGGAATGAATCTAGGTGATTCTAGCAAAAATGTATCAAAGAGTTAAAGAAAAATAGACTGTTAATTGGTGAAAAGAGGGAAAGTAAACTTATATCAAGATCAAGATAAATTTTCAGGATAAAAATTTTGAAGAGGGGAAAGGATTTGCTGAAATGGATAATTGACCTAGAATACAAAAAAGGGAGGTGTGAGGAGGTCAGGGAAACAAGCAAATGAAAGATAAGTTATGGGAAGGCTTGATTTGTTTTTTTCTTTTTTCTTTTTTCTTTTGTTTTTAATTGTTCCTATTTTTTTATTGTGATGTGTTGGTTTTGTTATTGTTCAATTTGGTGTTTTTTTCTTTTGCCTTTTTGTAAACTCAAAACTTTAATAAATATTATTTTTTTTGAAAAAAGATTTGTTTGCTGGCAGGCTTTATGACTCTGACCATTTACTGCACATGTATCCCAATTGGTTCATTTCGGGGGTGTGGTTTGCTAGCCACTGCATTGTTACCCCACCCTGTCCATTGCATTTCCACCCTTGTTTCCTCACTGTAAAAAGTCCAGTTTTGGAAAGGAGGGGAGAAGGTTTCACCTAAGAACATCTTGCTAGATCAGGCCAATGGCCCATCTTAGTCTGCCATCCTGTTCTCACAGGTGGCCAACCAGATGCCTGTGACAAACCAGCAATCAGGGCCCGCGAGCCCAAGAGCCCTCTCACCTCCTGTGGTTTCCAGCAACTGATATAGTAGTACCTCGGGTTACAGATGCTTCAGGTTACATATGCTTCAGGTTACAGACTCCGCTAACCCAATAGTACCTCGGGTTGAGAACTTTGCTTCAGGATGAGAACAGAAATTGTGCTCCGGCGGCACAGTGGCAGCAGGAGGCCCCATTAGCTAAAGTGGTGCTTCAGGTTAAGAACAGTTTCAGGTTAAGAACGGACCTCTGGAACGAATTAAGTACTTAACCCGAGTTACCACTGTATTCAGAAGCATTGCTGCCTCCAACTGTGAAGGCAGAACATGGGCATCATGTGATAACCCTCTCCATCAGTTTATCTAACCCTTTTTTAAAGCTATCTAGGTTGGTTGTCATCACTGCCTCCTGGGAGAGCGAGCTCCAAGAACTACCCTGGTACTCATGAAGATGATGTAATTGCTCCTTCTATGGGGGGGAAGGCCTGAAATTGAGCTCCCCATCCTCTATACCACTGCCCCCATCATTCCAATACTGGGCTGGAATGGAAACAGCCTCAAAATGAGCCAGACCATTGCTCCAACAGGCTCATTGTTTAAAGCCCGAAACGGCCTCGGTCCAGTATACCTGAAGGAGCGTCCCCACCCCCATCATTCTGCCCAGACACTGAGGTCCAGCGCCAAGGGCCTTCTGGTAGTTCCCTCACTGCGAGAAGCCAAGTTACAGGGAACCAGGCAGAAGGCCTTCTCGGTAGTGGCACCTGCCCTGTGGAACACCCTCCCACGAGATGTCAAAGAGAACAACAACCACCAGACCTTTAGAAGACATCTGAAGGCAGCCCTGTTTAGGGAAGCTTTTAATGTTTGATGCATTACTGTATTTTAGTATTCTGTTGGAAGCCACCCAGAGTGGCTGGGGAAGCCCAGGCAGATGGGCGGGGTATGTTGTTGTTGTTGTTGTTGTTGTTGTTGTTGTTGTTATTTGCTAACTTGTAGCTGCAATTCTCCAGCATTTCATCTCAGAGCCCCTCCCAGGCCAGATGCCAGAGATTTACCGGTAACCTGGGGCTTTCTGAATGCCCCATCGCTGAGCCACTACCCTTACCAGCATTTCATAGAATCACAGAATTGTAGAGTTGGAAGGGACATCAAAGGTCATCCAGACCAGCCCCTTGCAATGTAGGAATCTCAACGAAAGCATCCATGACAGATGGCCACCTGACCTAGGCTTAAAAACCTCCAATGAAGGAGCATTCACAATCTCCTGAGGGAGACCGTTCCACTGTGGAACAGCTCTTACTGTCAAAAAGTTCTTCCTGATGTTCAGTCCGATTCTCCTTCCTTATAGCTTGAATCCATTGAATCAAGTCCTGCTCTCTGGAGCAGAGAAAACAAGCTTGCTTCGTCTTCAACGTGACAGCCCTTTAGATGTTTAATATGACTTTAAATTAAGACATGATGCTGTATGACTTACGATATGATACGATAATCTTTATTGTCATTGTTCCATACAGAACAACGAAATTGAAAAAAATCTACATTAGACATTCAAAACCAACAAGCCTGCTATCCCAGCTATCCCAGCCTGGTTAGCCCCCTAAAAACTCTGATACCCCATAATTAAATACAATATATTCCCATGGAGACTACCTTACACTGCGTCTAAAACCAAAATTGCATTTGAATAGAAACTGTTTCTCAGGCGGCTAGTCCTAGTCTTTATAACCCTGTACCTTCTTCCAGAAGGCAGAAGCTGAAAGAGATCATTTCCGGGGTGCGCACTATCCTGCACTATCTCTGCAGCTTTCTTATGACACCTGGAAGCATATATTTGATCCAAGGTGGGAAGAGTGCACCCAATTATTCTCTCCGCAGTCTTTACAACCCTGGACAGCATTGTTTTGTTAGATGGAATATTATAATTTTTTAAGAACGGGAGAAATTAACGATGGCATATCTAAATAGTCTGAAGCAGTCACCTCATCAAATGCAGGAGGGGACCTGTCAGAGCATCAGACAGATACTAGGGTGGGTGGGAGTGATCAGAAATAACTATTGCTTTCATAGAATCATCGGCTTGTGGAGTTTGAAGGGTCCGCAAGGGTCATCTAGTCCAACCCCCTGCAATGCAGGAATCTTTTGCACAGCGTGGGGCTGGAACCCCTGCCCCTGAGAGGTTAAGAGATTAAGAGTCTCATGCTCTACTGATTTCTCTCCATTCAGCAATCTCTCATACTCCATTCTTGAGTTTCCCTGAGCAACCTGGATGGCTACTGTGAGCAGTTTCTGGATTAGGCAAATCTCTCCTCTGATCAAGGAGGGTGTTCTTGCCTCCTTAATTGCAGAAAACTAAATTAAAAACAACAGCAACTCATTTTGCTACCAGCATGTGGTCTTCAAAACAGCCTCTCCTCCTGGCTGTTTTCTGCTCCTCCCCCTTCCCCCACAACTTGGCCTATTGACATTCCTGCTCCTGAACCACCTCAGGTAAGATTGTAATGCAAAATACCTGGCTAAACAAGAGCCTTCCAATAAGGCAGAGTTTGTTCCATTATCTGATAAGAAACCACCAAGGGGGAAGAAGCTTCCATTGTGTTCTCGATGGGAGGTTTTCCCTTTGCTTATGTGTGAAAGCTGCTAATCCCTCTCTAAATGGGTTCTGTGATTAAGAGGGGAGGGATGGGTAAATAGCTGTTAGGTGTCTGGAAGCAACGCCAGCCATCAAGGGAAATTATAACCGTGAAGAAGCCAGCTCTGTGTAAAAGAGGCTGATAGACTGATCCTTCTCCGCATGGTGGGCTGCTTGAAAAAATGAAAGCACAACCTGAAGAAAGAGACAATGCACTTACTTTTGTAAACAAAGTAAATCTTTAATTATATATATATATATATATATATATATATATATATATATATATATTCAGGAGCAGGACACCATCTCTGTTGCAACAACTTGTCTCCTGGAAGGGATTTAACAAGATTGTCAGGGTGTTGTTGCATGTGGAACTCAAAACTGATTTTGTTTGTTTATTTTTGCATCTGCCAGCTCTTGGTAACGTGGATGTTACACACATCTGCTAAGAAGCATATTCTTCTTTTATATTCTTTTATATATTTCCCTCTTCCACTTTCTGTCCTGCAACACAGGAAACTGCCTTTGATGATGATGATGATGATGATACTCCGCCCATCTGGCTGTGTTTCTCCAGCCACTCTGGGTGACTTCCAGCACATATAAAAACATAATGAAACATCAAACATTAAAAACTTCCTGATACAGGGATGCCATCAGATGTCTTCTAAAAGTTGTGTAGTTCTTTATCGCCTTGACATCTGATGGGAGGGTGTTCCGCTACTACTGAGAAAGCCCTCCGCCCTGTACATTTAAAGTGCTATGATGCCCCTTTTAAATAGTCCTGGCTTCCCCTAGAGAATCTTGGGAGATGTAGTTTGCGAAGGGTGCTGAGAGTTGCTAGGAGACACCTATTCCCCTTACACAGCTACATTTCCCAAAGTGGTTTAACAGTCAATTCCTCTCCACAGGGAATGCTGGGAATTGTAGCTCTGGGAGGGGAATAGGAGTCTCTTAACAACTCCTTGGCACTCTTAGCAAACTACAATTCCCAGGACACTTGGGGGGGGGGGAGCCAGGACTGCTTAAAGTGCTTTAAAAGTATGGTGTGAATGTGGTATTCTGACAGGCAAGGACTCATCACAGAGTCCACCTGTGTTAACAACATTAACAGTCTTGGGATCTTTCTAACCAATGAACACCTTTCTTCCAAGTGGGGTGGAGACTCAATATCAAATAGTGCAGCAGATGGTAAAAAGCATAAGTACATAATAATATTGCATGTTTGGGCAGGGTTGTATATATATATATATATATATATATATATATATATATATATATATAGCAAGTGCTGAAAACAGTACAATGAAGCATTGCACTGGGTTGGACAAGATGAGTCTCAGGATCCCTTCCAACTCTACAATTCTAGGATTCAATAGGCTGGGAGTTCCAGAGAACAGGAGCTGCCCTGTTAAACTTGGCAAAGCAACAGAAAGCTGTCTTGTGCGTGTGGCAGATAAACTGCAGCAGGAGCCTGAACCCCCAAAATTTGCCTGACCACTCTTGAGGGTCACAGAAGATGGGTGGCTTGGCATTTTGCTTTGGAAAATGCTGGCCACATCGAACACCAGCAGGTGGCGTGTTATTGGTAGACTCTTGGGCTTGACAGCTCAATGTGTCTTGGTCCTCTTTGAGCCTCTTGTGTCCATTTCTGCTCTCCCTCGTATCATGCAAGCGTCTCCCTCCTTCCATCTGTCACAAGGATGGTTTTGGAGCACCATGAGATGTGCAGTCTGTACTCATTGGGACCACTGACATATGACTGGGTTGTTAAGTCTCTCAGATGGGAGCCCTTTAATGCTGATGTATTATCCTCACTCTGGGCTGCTGATATTTAATTTGTAATGGGATGCGGGTGGCGCTGTGGTCTAAACCACTGAGCCTCTTGGGCTCAGACCAGAATGTCCGTGGTTTGAATCCCCACAACGGGCTGAGCCCCCATTGTTCTGTCCCAGCTCCTGCCAACCTAGCAGTTCAAAAGCATGCCAGTGCAAGTAGATAAATAGGTACCGCCGTGGCGGGAAGGTAAACAGCATTTCCATGCACTCTGGTTTCTGTCATGGTGTCCCGTTGCACCAGAAGCGGTTTAGTCATGCTGGCTACATGACCCGAAAGCTGTCTGCAGACAAACGCCAGCTCCCTTGGCCTGAAAGCGAGATGAGCGCTGCAAACCCCTAGTCGCCTTTGATTGGACCTAACCGTCCAGGGGTCCTTTACCTTTTTTTTTTAACCTATTTAATTTGTGTAACCTGATTGTTCCTTTCCATTCCTAGCACAAGGTCTCAGGACCAACTTAACTGTATAGCTGTTTCTCTGGCATTTTCACATTTAACCTCCCATTTATGTTTGAAACTCAATTTAAAGACATTGGGATGGCACCGACTCTCAAACATCTAGTTCAGTGGCTCCCAAAATTGATGGTATTGCCCCATGAAGGGCGTGGTTGGATTACCTAGGGGGTGCTAAGAAGCAAGGAGTGGGGGGGGGCGGCTCTGGGGGTGTCAATGATTATCAGACTTTGAAAAAGCTGCTAAGTTCATCAGTTTTGTTGAATTGATTAAAGGAAATAGTTTAAAGTGGATTTTGAATAAAGTTGCAATTAATTGTTCCTGCTTTGGATTTTATTGTGTTGCTATCTTCCTTAGTGGGCTGTGAAAAGTGCTACTCTGAACCATGTTTTGTAAACAGGGGTAGGGGGCACTGGGGATGAGTTTATGGGACCAAGGGGGCAGTGGCCCAAAAAAGTCTGGGAACCAGTGGCCTAGTTCACTGAGAGTTTGATCAAGAGTGCTTAAATTCAGGCATCAGAGAGAAGGATAATGAAAAGGAAATACGGCAAGGGGGAGATCGGCAGCCTCTTCTGAGGGCTCTGCATGTGTAATCTAAAACCTTCATGTTTGTCTAATTAATACGTAGCATATTGAGTGTATCATCCATGAGTGCTTCATTAAAAAAAAATACTATTTGGAGACTTGAAGTTATTAAAGTTAGAAAAGGCTGAGGTGGGGGGGGGGGGAAACCCTGAGGGTCTTGGATGAGTCTGCCCGCTTGCCTTTCAGATTCTCTCTGCAAGTTATCTACCAGATTCCCACCCTCTTTTAATTACCGCTTCATGGTTTACATGCCGTCCAATTAAAAGAATATTACATTTAAATCAGGAACATATTGTTGATGGGAGTTCAGATTCAGATTCACTCTTGGCATCCTCAGCTTGTCACTAGAATTTCACTGTGGCTCTGGAGTCTTGGATGAGATGTGGATCCTACCAGAAAACAGGCGCAGTGAGTTTTCTGGTACATGTGCTATATCAAATTGATAAAATATGTGGTGCGATGGTTAACGTGATGGACAAAGACTGTATCAACCCAGGCATAGATCCCCACCCAATCATGAAGCTCACTGGCTTATTTTAGGCTAGCCAAAGGTTTCCCAAACTTGGGTCTCTGGCTGTTTTTGGACTACATCATCTCTAGCGAGCAGGATCAGTTGTCAGGGATGATGGGAATTGTAGTACAAAAACTGTTGGAGAACGAAATTTGTGAAACCCTGGTAGTCAGTCCTACCGCACAGGGCTGTTTTGGCAATAAAATTGAGTGGGCGGGGGAAGACCCATGGTGATCACTTGAGCTCCTTGGAGGAATACATAATAATAATATGCATTGTATATATACACTATTTTAGAGAATGATTGGGCTGTGTAGCCACCTAAGTGCCACCTAAGTAGGCTTTATTGGTCTCCTCTGAGTATGGCAGAGTATTCCACAATACTCGGTCGATGACACTAAATGCTCAGTTGCTTGTTATTGTCAAATGGCCCTTGCCAACTTGGGGAATGAGCAACGACACTTCTGCAGATGATCTCAGTGACTGAGCTGGGATATAAATGCTCAGGCTGTCCCTGACGTATTCTGGACCTAAGTTGCTCAGGGTTTTATAACTTAATAGGAGAACCTTGAGCCCAGCTTGGTAGTAGGTGGGCGGCCAGTATAGATGCTGTAAAAATGGTGTCCCATGTTCTCAGCCAGATGCTCCTACTAGCTGTCAGGCCACTGCATTCTGCACCACCTACAGCTTCTGACAATCCATTACTGTCCAAAAATACCGTATTTTCGGCTATATAAGACTCACTTGTTCCCTCCTAAAAAGTAAGGGGAAATGTGTGTGCGTCTTATGGAGCGAATGCAGGCTGCGCAGCTATCCCAGAAGCCAGAACAGCAAGAGGGATTGCTGCGCATGCGCAGCAATCCCTCTTGCTGTTCTGGCTTCTGAGATTCAGAATATTTTTTTTCTTGTTTTCCTCCTCCAAAAACTAGGTGCATCTTGAGGTCTGGTGCGTCTTATAGAGTGAAAAATATGGTAATCCTAGGTTTAACCAGATATGGGCAAGCATGCAGTAAAGATTAATCCAGTCTAATTGCAGACCTCAAGGCTTCAACATCCTGCCTGATTTTTGTAACCCCCTTTCCCTTATTCCCCTTAACTCCTGCTTTGGGTAATGTCTCTAGCCCAATGGAAAAAATTATGGCACACTTGACAGCTTGTGCACCATTTTGTTACATTTTGTTTGGTCCGGCTGTGAGCATGCACAGGTACATTGTCCAGCTATGGATTTTAGAGGCCCCCCCTGGCTTATGGGCCAACACAGCTGCCTTAAAAAGTAATAATAATAAAATCTTGTTATTCCCCTGAGTGAGTCAATGAGTCAGTCATTCCCAAATATTTCTATACAGACAGATAAGTCACTGTCTCCTCACTGTAAATCTCCATTCATTTTATTTATCTCTATACATACAAATAAGTGTCTGTGTTCTGTATGGTAGACCACACATATGTGCCTTTCATACATTTCTCCTTGTCCTTGAAAACAAATATAGGTTTATGACTTTCTCAAAGAAGTCAAATTCAGCCTTAATTGTAAAACCACACAGAACTCAACCCTGCTGATGTAGATTAAATCAACTCCCAAATTGCGTAGTCTCATCCCAGACACACTTTTTTGCTTGGAAGCAAGTCCAGCAGAAATAAACAGGGTTTCTTCCCAAGTCATTAGGGGATCTTTATGGTGAGGCTAAATACACTTTCTCAAAATCAACAGGACATATGCACACAAACATATTTAGCATGGAGGCAGCAGAGTACAAAGCGCGGGGGCGGGGGGCGGGGGGAGTCCAGAGTCTCCTTTACCTAAGCTTAACTTTGGAGGTTACATCAAAGTGGCAAAAGTGAAGGCATGAATGACTTGTGCATCCACAGTTCACACTTCTGATGAATCTTGTGGGGTTCTTGTGGGTTTCACCTTCAGTGATAGAAGCCTATTTTATATTATATTACATTAATAATATAACATCATAACATAACATAACAACATAACATAAAACATAACATAACATAATATAATATATAATAATAAATGGTAGCTATAAAGTTTATTTAAACCACCTTCAAAGGCCCATGGTTTGTTTTAAAAGAAAGGTTTAAAAAGCCTGGGTGGATAATCAAGTCTTAACCTAGTATGGAAAATATTGTAAGGGGGAGGTTGGTGAGCTTCTCTGCGGAGACTACCTGAATTCATAAAAAAATAGTAGCCACAACTGATAAAAATAATAATAGCCACAATTTATAAAAATTGAAGAGAGGAATGCATTGCTGATGGCGCTGTTTTCCTCCCTTGCCAGGAGCCTTTCCACCGAAGACCAAAACCCAGGAGGTGAAATTAATTGATTCTGCTGCCCGCAAATCTTCCCGGCTGGTGGCAACTGACAGTTTCAACGCCACTTTCTTTTGTGTGGGTGACATGAGCGGCTCCACACTCTGCCAGCCCTTTTTCTCCGAGGACTGGATTCGAGCCGGCAGCCTGGAGCCGCCGCCCTTCTCCCCAGCTCTGATGCGCTCTCCCTTTGTGTTTGCTAATTAGTTGCTAACAGCGCCGTCATGCAGACCTTGATGGATAAGCGCACCATTAACACCCAGACCCTGCAATTCACGTCCTAGCTGAGCCGGGGGATCAAGGCCAGCCCCAGCCCGAGAGCAGTAGGTTTAGCATTGCAGCTTTCTCTGAGGACCATTTTTGGGGACTTCTTTCCTAGTCACGACACAGGACAACCCCCTCCCTCCTACCGAAGTTTTTGGGTGTGGAATCAACTTCTCCACTTACCAGAGAAATCGATCAAGGCGCAATATTTGAAGAGGGAGGTTTAAGCACTCTGTCGCTCAGAGAAAGTTTGTAGCTCTTCCGCCCATGAGATAAAACCTCACAATCCTTTGTTGATGGTTATGCAGAAGTCCCGCGGGATGCATCTCAGTTCTATTACTAGCAAAACATTTGTGTCTAGTGGGGTTTACTCTCAGGTAAGTATGTCTGAGATTGCAGTCTCAGGCAATCCCATTAACCTCAACGCGATTTACTTTTGAGCAGATAGGCACACAGAGGACTGAGCTGGGAAATCTGAAATATTCACTCGCCTTAATGAAAAGCGCCCGGCCCATTTAAGACTCGCCTAGTTCGCAAGTCCGGAAAAGTAAATTTTCTGTTCGCCTCATTTAACACCCTCGGCCAACCTAATCGCGGCGATTTATCGCGGCATTGTTGCAACTGTGTATTTTAAATCGGATTTATGTCTCTCCCTCCAGGCAAAGGCGATTCAGCGCCGATGGCTGAGCCCCGCCTCCTATTTACACAAATGGCTTTCCAAACGACCCATAATTTGTAGGTGTTATGGGGCTGGCTGGTGGGGGGTGGGGTAGGGGAGGTAAAGTAAGGTTGAGCTTCATTCAGTAGCCTTAAAATGCCAACCTGTATTGAGCGGTGATGCTGAACACCGACATGTTTAGAGTAGACCCATTGATTTCAGTGGGCCTATCCTAAACGGGACCAAGTCTGGATCCTACCCACTGACTTTAAGGAAACCATCCATGTTTACACGGGAGTAAACTCGACTGAGTCCCGTGAACCTTGTTTCCTTCTCACGTAAGCAACCATCGATATTTGATATTGATCTCTAGCAGTACAAGGGCCAGCTGCGAGCGTGGCACAAGCACAGTCTGAAATAAACGTTTATTCCTGTTTATTACAAACAGGCATTTGTCCATAACTTTAAATATGTACAAATTAATAGGGAAAGCGGTTAATCAGCGCTGCCATAAAGAATAAATGACCTCATGCAATTCTGAAGCTGATATTCGGTTTGGGACATATTTTTGAAAGGTCAGCAGTGGGGGGAGAAAAGCAGCTTTCCTCGTCTCACCCATCCTTCTTCTGCTGCCCACTTCCCTGGCTCACATCGGCATTCCGACGTGGGCGCTGCCTGTTCCACAGAGGCTCCTTCACGCGTATGATTCATGGGACAATGCCAGGAGGGCGGCAGATGAAGGGGCGCGGCGGGAGGGTGAAAGCGACGGAAGTATCTGGACAGCTCTTGAAGCATTTAAAAATACACCCCACCCACCCACAAAATCACAACTTGATCATAGATAGAATCGTCACAGCATCCTCAAAATAAGAGGTTTGGAAAAGATAGAGGATGTCAGTTCGTCCGGCTACGACACGCGCACACGTGCGCTAGAGTAAAGGGATGAACTCCTGTCTTCAGATGGACACCCTGGGGCAGTCGGATCCCCAAATCCAGAAAGGTCGAAGCAGAGAAACAACCTTCCAAGGCACCCATCCCTACCTCCCGCCCTCCGACTCCTGACGCTTACAAGCTCTACTTTCCGCATTCCGACGACCCCCTTCCCTTCCCTTCCCTGCGGGTCAGGCGGCGATGCCGCGAACCAGCCGCCGGGCAAGAAGGGAACCACGGTCCCATTCACCGCCGTCTTCTGCGGGCGACACCGTTATCGAGTCCGCGGCGCCTCCTCCAGGAGCCCCCTTTCCTCTCCTCCGCAGAAGCGCCCTCTGGGACCCGTAGTCCTCCCTCCCCGCGCTCTCCATTCTCCGCGCCGAGCGGGAGACTACGTTTCCCATCCACCCCCGTGCCGCCCTCCGCGTTCCGCGGGCGGCGCCGAGCCGCCAATCAGGCGGCGTCACCATGTGTGCAGAACGCTCGGAGGATTCCAAATACATTTCCCTCCCCCGTTCCAAATGCGAACTCCCCTCTCCCTCCTGGCAGGGGTGCAGCTAATAATAAGCGCTTCGGGGAGGCTTTATAAAGGCGGCGCTGGAGGAGGCAAGTGTCATGAGGGTGGCAGGGCAGCGGAGCGGCGGCCGGGCAGCGTGAAGAGGCGGCTGGCGGGTGCTTTTATTTTTGGGAGAGCCGCTGGTGGTTTTCTTTCCTTGGCCGTCGCTGCTGCGGAGCTGGAATGTTGCAAAGGAGCTCGCGGCAGCCAAGCTGATCAGCGGCAGCAACGGAGGCAAGCAGCGGCGAGCCGCGATCGCTGCCCTGCCCGAGCTCTCCGGGGCGATGAAGCGGCGCAAGCTGGCCGTGGCCGCCGGCTTCTGCATGTCCTTCCTGCTGGGCACTTTGCTCAACGTCCTCTTCATCCCGGCCTTTGATCCCCAGCAGCAACAGCAGCAGCAGCTCAGCGCGGGCGTCACGCACTCGCTGGCGGGCTCGCCGGGGGAGGCGGGCGGCAGCAGCAGCAGCAGCAGCCGCCCCCTCCCCGAGGACCTCGCCCGGCAGATCCGAGAGCGCTACGAGGAGGTGCTGCGCTACCAGCCGCCTCGGGAGGCAGCTGCCGCCGGCGCTCGCCTGGCAGTGCGACCCCTGGAGCGGCGGCTCATGGATCTCGCTCCGCAGCGGCTCTCTTCCTCCTTGTCTTCTTCTTCCACGGAGCGCAGCAGCAGCAGCCGCAGCCGCCCCAAGCTGCCCGGACCCCGGGCTCCTTCCTGGGGCGGCGCGCCCTGGGACCACCCGCGAGCGCAGCTGGAGCTCTCGCTCGGCCCGCTGGCGCTCGGCTGCCGGGACATCGGCAACGTGAGCAACGTGCACTACCTGGGCTCGGGCTACACCAAGGCCGTCTACAGAGCCGTGCTCAACCGGAGCCTGGCCGTGGCCCTCAAGTCCGTCGATTTCGGCGGCCACGACATCGACAACTGCGTCAAGCTGTACGGCTCCTTGGAAGGCTGCTACCGCCTGGCTTCCTACAAGATCGCCAAGGAGATGGTTTTGTTGCAGAGGCTGCGACACCCCAACATCCTCCAGGTAAATTGGGGGGGGATCCCCGGTGTGAAGAATTGGGGGGGGGGAGGTAGAGAGACGCAGACAGACACACTGGTTTTATTCTTTATTAATTGTGTGAGCAATTGAGTGGAGCAACCCAGTTAAACCTTGGGGTTGGATTTTTTGTTGTTGAGATCCTGCCTTATTCATGGGCAAAATTGTTTAGACGTGAATTGCATTAGGAAAAAAAGGGGGAATTTTGGGAGGGAAGCCATTGTACTGCCAATTCCCGGCGGGGCTGTATTCTTTGCTTCTGGAATAATGATGTTTTAATTGGGCTCTCTTGGAACTGGCTGGTTTGTGGAAGGAGAGTTAATCTGCACCACAGTCCTCCTGACGCGTCAAGTTAGGGAAGTTTACCAGCGCGGCCGGCCACGTGCGACCTCTCGCTGTTGCTGCTCGCTCCTCCCAAGGCGAAGATGGCACCTAGGTGTGATTGGGGATCGAGCCGTCTGGCAGCAGATCCGAGACCCGTTTGCTTCTGGAAGCTCGCTTGCGATCTGTCCGAAGGCAAACATGCGCTGCCATGCTCTCCAACCCAAGATTTATAGTTCTGAAGCCCATTTTGGCCACCGATGAACTTCATTCGGAAATAAATCCTAGAGAGATGATATTTTGGGTGTGTGTGACAGAGAACTCTCTGAATTTGCACTTCCAGGAAAAAGTGAATAGGATCAGGATCAGGTATCGTGATTTTGGCTAGACTGCTTTCCCGATCCTCGAGACCTAACGCTGTTTCCTCACAAGGAAGTCCCAGTGAGTTTCGTAGAACGTGTTCTTATCCTTGAGTCCGGGCATAAACTGTAGCCTAAAATATTGGGCGAACGAAGCTTAAAGGAACTCCATGAGATTTGCTTCCTTACGTTAATGTGCCAATTAAATCGCTTTGATTAATCCTCAGGTAGCAGTCCTAAACGCGCAGACTTGGGAGTAAGCTCCATTGAGTTCAATGGGACTTCCTTCCGTGTATACATGCATAGGATGTTGCCGTTCCTCCGTGTGTTTTGGGGTCGGGATGCTTGAGACAGCTGTTCTGGGGGTATTTCCCCTAAACTTCGGAAATTCTAATCCGATGGGGGAGAATGCTGGATAAATCAGAAATATTTGGCTGCTTTTATTGCGTTAGAGAGGGCGGCAATCCTGAGGAAGCCCAAATTGGAAATATTCTAGTGGATTTAAGACCTCGCCTCCTGTTAAATTTGCTTAAAAAGAGAGAAGAATGGCCCTAGCTCATTGGTACAGTCTGTTTTGCGCTCCAAAGGTCTTTAGTTTAATTCTCAGCATCTTCAAGTAGAGCTGGGGTGGGAACCGCGCCTGAAATGTTGCAGCTCAGTGTGGAGACAATATGGAACTAAATGGATCAATGGTCTGCCCTGGTTTAAGGTAGCTTTGCAACACAGAGATACACAGCTAGCGAGGTGGAGGCTTAGAAGAAATTCTGTCCAGAGCAGAACGTGCCAAGTTTGGGAGTCGCACAGAGTTCTTTATCTGTTGCTACCTGATGATTTGTGCTGTGTTAAGAGCCTAAACATTTGGATCAAGAAGAAAACTTGAGGAGCTGGGGTAGACAAATAGGACTTTTCTCACGTCGATTGGGGGAAACGCTTCTTGGAATGAAGTTCTGACAAAGCCGCGACGGTGGCAGTCAAACCCGCGAGTACCACAGTCGTGTAGACGTGAGCTGGCGACGTGTTCTAGCAGCAGAAAGGAGGCAGAGACGTGTAGAAACCGCAACCAGCTCTCCGTTTTAATCTCTCTCTGAGCTGGAGACAGGGGAGTGCCAGAAACGCGGGAGAAATCGGGCAAGCTTTCAGCAGCTCTAGGGAGGTTAGGCGTCGGGTCGAATCGGTGTGGACCTTCTCTGAGTTCACAGGTCCGCCACGTCGGTTCTCTCAGTAGCGCGGCGCGCAGTGGGATTCCGCCCGAGCTTGCACGATTCTGCTTGCACGGCGGCACAAGAGCGCACCCGGAGGACTAGCGCCGTGAATGCCTAATTGGAACAGATCCTTGGCTTTTCGCTTAATGGAGAGAGCCGAGCTGCAGACTCGGAACCGCTAAGCGCTCGCTTTAAGTTGTGGGTAGTCAACCGGGTGTCTGCGTTCAGCAAGACACGGGGCCTCGATAACATTCAGCCGCAGTTCTTAGCCGACGAGGGCATCGTGGCCGATCTTAGATCGAGCAGGTTTGAATCGGGGATTTTGAATACTCGTATTAGAAAGAACCCCTTTTCCTTGCGGAGGTCAAGCCTCCCGATGGTGCCCGAATGTCTGTTCCCGGTGCTCCTCGGGACAGGGAGCTCATACATTCTCCATTTTTGTGCAAATATCCATCAGTTGATGTCTATGGGTAATAAATCACACCGTATTCTGGAAAACTGAATCACTTGCAAACTTCACACACACACAAACACACCCCACCGCGGATGCATTAAATCAAGCCTTCACTTTCTCCCGTTGAAATGGCATGGGATCTGAAAACGATTAAGCTGGGAATCCTGTTCCCGTTTACTCGCGAGTAAACCCACCGGAAGTCGCTAGGAGTTCGTATGCGAGAGGAGCTTTATAGCTTCTTCTTCTTTTTTTAAAAAAGACCACCCGCTATAATACACTTGTAATACAGAACCACCAAAATAAAATCCTGGCGAGTACGTGTGTGTGGAGGGGCAATCTGTCTAAACAAGAGTCTTGGCGGCCTCGATGCCAAACACCCCTTGCTCTGTAACAGGAGGCGGCGATCGGCAAAGCAGTTGAGCAAGAGCCTGTTCCCATCGGCTTGGGTGCCCCTGAGAACAGAGACTCTAGCCTGTGTCTCTTCGGAGGAACCAGACAGGCTTCGCAATTTCGAATCTAGGTGTTTTGACCCGGTTTGGCAATCGCTTCCCGCTCAGGAAGGAGAAAGAGAAACGGCTCATAGCTGCGATCCTGCCAGAGAGGGGGTGGGGAGGGCGGCGAGGAGTCGGGAGGGGAGATGACCCGAGAGAGAGAGAGAGAGAGAGAGAGAGAGAGAGAGAGATCTCTCCCCTCTCCAGAAACAGCAGCGAGAGGAGAAGGAGGTCTCTGTTAGCAATTTTGACTCGGGAGCACATCAGATTGGTCTTGTCAAAAGCGCAGACAAGGCAGTCGATGGAGCTTGACAGCTAAAGCTTCCCTCCCCATCCCCCTCTGTTGTTGTTTTTAAAGAGGACTTTGTTTCACCTTGTGTTTCTCGCTGGAGATGGATGTGCGCAAGTTCTTCCGCTTTGGGCCTGTCGACAAATGTCATATTCTCAGATAAAGTAGAGAGAGATTGAGACTCCCTGTTTGTACCCCTTCTTCCCTCCCCTTGCCACTGTTTGGCTGCCATCCTATGCCTGGGAATAATCCACAGTGAATCTGCTGATGGGTCTTGCTTTCCAAATCAACATGCACAAACCTGACTGTAAACCCCTCTTCTCTCTCCCCCCCCCAAGCAATACCCCGACAGCCTCTCATTCAGTTACATTTCCTACACATGATCCCTTTTCAGGTCCTTGCTCAGGACAGAGCCACGTCTTTGAACTAGCTCCAGTTTTGAGAAAAAGTCACGCTTAAGGCAAATTCTAACCTGTCCTTGGGAAGGAGGTTTCGCTGAGTTGAAATGGGCTTACCCCGAGGAATACCAACCCTAGAGAATTCCCAGAGGCCAATTTATTGGGGCTGCAGGGTCTCTCCGACAGCCAGGATCCGACTTCATCTCAAGCTGTAGCCATCGCTTTCAGGCCTCTTTAAGGACTGTGCTTGTTAACAAGAGCTTATGTGGGCTTTTCGGTGGGGTGGGGGACCCACACAGAATTTGGCTGGCCTCCTCGCACAATGAAAGCTCGGCCTCTATCAAAAGCCGGGCATTTAGCCTCTCTCTCTGTAGACACCCAGCCGCTCTGCAGAAAAAAGATTTGTTTTGAGCGAGTCTCTTCCATTAGGCCCATGAAAATTAGAGGAGGCGCAATGAGCTGTTCCTCTTATTTGTAATTCCATGGAGCACGTCTCAGAAATGCCTATCTTCTCTTCCCCCTCCCCAGTTCCTTTTGTGAGCAAATATCCTGATGGGGAGGACCCTGAAAGAGAATCAAGGGCCATCCAGCTACCTCCTTTCAGAGCCTCTTTCTCCCGCCTTGGTCAATTACAACTTCATGGATTAAGTGCCACCCCAATTATGAGTAAATTTCATTTAAATAATCAGAACCATATTTGCCAATGGGGTTTAGATTGCTTTGGCTTCCTTGCAGGCTCAGTAAGGCTTACTTGAGCAGGATCCCCAACACACTGGAGGGAAGGCGGATGTGAAATAAGAAAAACCGCCAGCATAATTTCATTTTTAAAAATCCTGGTGAAATGCAGACAAGCACTAAATGCTTCCTAAGGCATTACAGGCAAAGCATCTGAATAAAAAGGAAGCCAGTAGATCTAGCTGGATAGTATCGTGGACCCACTCCCACAGATAGATCTATTGTTGTTCTGAGCGCTTTTGAAATAGCTTTTTCCGAGGATGTTTGGGGTAGGACCAGAGTGCGGCTCTCTGTTTTGTGTATTCAATATTCATGCTTTGAGAACACCCCCCCCCCCCGCCAAAGGATTTCAGTCAGCTTTGAGGTTGTATCAAGCTACAAATGTACTGTGAACATTCCAGTCTGATTCTTTTCTGCTCCAAAATAGTGAGCAGCGACCTGTCTAGAACCCTACAGAAGAATGCTCTCGAGCAGCAGTGCCCAAATGCTCCCCTTTCTGCCCACGGACCACTTGAAAATTACTGGGGGTCCTGGCGGACCACTTAAATATTTTTCTGCCCTTTGTACCAACTGCAATTCCTTAGACTTCAAATGCAATATAAGAAAGAAAAGAAGCAATTAAAAAGTACCTTAAAAATTAATATCAAATATTCAGTGAAATGGATGTGCCCATTTCCCAGCTTCAACCACTGATCTGCAGGCACATTGTGTGGCCCCTCGAATGAAGATTGTAGGCACAGTTTGTGAGCCTCTGCTTTAGAACTTCCCATTTTTAAACTGAGCGGGATTTAATGGCACGCTCCAACAAACAAACCCCCAGACAAGCCAAAATCCATTTAAGAGTCTAGAAGGCTGAATCTGTTCTGTTCTAGAGAGGTTTTGGAATATGGTTTAAGTGCGGGTCTCATTCCATTTTAGCTTTAAAGTGGATTTTCTTTTTCAACTGGGCTCGTCTCCATGCTGGAAGCTGGATTCTGCAAAGATGCTATGGAGAACCCTGCTGGATTGCAGCAAAGTTCCATCTAGTCCAGAATCCTATTTTGAATGCTGGCCAGCCCCAATATTTTTGAGAAGCACCCAGCACAGCCCGAAGCCTCCTGTTTTAATTGCTGCACTGTTGCCTTAGTGTATATTTTAATTACGAATGTCTATATCTTAATCTTTGTGCAATTGGTCTTTATATTTTGGAAGCCATTTAGAAGCCTATTTTTGGCATCAACCAGTATTTCATTAAATACTACTACTATTACTGCTAATAACAATGATGATGTTAAAGGCAGAAACCCCTGCAAACTGTCTCTCCACTTCTGCCTCAGCATAAAGAGGGTCCTCTAAGCTCGGAGATGCCATTTAGGACTGCCTGCCTTCATCTAAGCCTATCTGTGTTTAAGTTTTTAGGAAGCTGCTTTATGCTGAGACAGACTGTCTGTCTGTCAAGCTCAGCATTGTTGACCCTGACTGGCAGTGATTCAGATCAAGGGACCCTCCCAGCCCTACCTGGAGATGCCAGGGATTAAACCTGTGACCTTCTGCATGCCAGGCAGATGTTCTGCCACTGGTCCTTGCCAAGCCTTCTTCAGAGGCTGCCTTCTGTTTGTTCCCCACATCTGAATTAAGGTGTATACTAGCAATGAGAGAGGCAGGGCCTTCTTGGTAGTGGTGCCGTTCACCTGGTGCCTGCTACTCTGTCCATCTTTCCAGTGCCAGTGGAGTCGTTCATATTTTCTAGACCTTTTTAATGGTTTTGCTTCAGTTTATCTTATTTTGGTTTTACATGTTGTTTTCCCCTTCCCTCAGTTGCTTTTATTTTATTTCTTAGAAAACCACCCTGTCAAAAAAAAAAAGATGCAATGCGAATATTATAATATAAACACACAAACAAAGAAAAATAATAATAATTTGAACAATAATGAATATTAGCCTCTCCTTCATGAATTTGTCTCATTCTTCCCCATCTGAGTTTCTGGCCAAGACTTCCATGGATTAATTTTGCATGCATTTGTGTGACAACATTTCTTCTGCCTTATAATCTTAGTTTCTGATTTCATCCTCTGAAGTGAATAATGGCAAAACCAGCCTCTTGCAAAAAGCATCACTTCACTGATCTCTTTATATAAATTTCTGGGAAAGCTTGAAACTCCATCCCTTAGCACCCCTACCCCAGGCCCTTCTGACTTCTGATTTAATTTTGACAGGAGGGGACAGGCTTTCTAAATAAACCCAACCTGTTTAGGCGAACTTCCTAAAGCAAAGCTCTTAGTGTCCAGAGAAAGTGTAGAGAGCTTTCAAGAACAGAAGCTCATTTTCCTTTTACTGCTTCCTTGAGTGCAGGGAATACACTGGAGACCACCCATTCTCCTGCTCTTCTCTCCAGCTCAGCAGCACATCCATCTACGGTGAGTGACAGGTTGCCATGGGCCTCCAAAGCATTAGTGAATTAGCCTATTTATCCACAAATAGCCCCTTATTCTGGAGCAGCCTGTAATCTCCAATCAGAAATCAGAACTCGTGGCTTGGAATCTCAGTGTGTGTGTGTGTGTGTGTGTGTGTGTGTGTGTGTGTATATATATATATATATATATATATATATATGATCACTCAACACAAACTATTTACCCTTTCAATTCCCTTCAAGCAGTACTGGCTCCAGACAATCCCATACATGAGTTTTGAAATCCACGTGGCATCCTTCTCTTCGCAGTGAAAATATAACAGTAAATTCAGTGGCAAGTTGACATTCTTTCCCCATTTTTGGATCATTAGAAAGCTTTTACTGTTTCTGAACGTGACAACTCTTGCTCCATTGGTGACCCATGCCTCTGGGAGGTCAAGGCTTGATTATTGCAACACAGTTTCTGTGGGGCTGCCCTTGAAGGCGACTTGGAAGCCTTCTTACCTGGTGCAGAAAACTGATGCGTGCCTTCTGATACTTATCCTGTTCTATGACAACTACCAGTTTGCTTCTGGGCCCAATTCAAGGTGCATGTTTGAACTTTGAAGGCCTTGCATATCCTGGGACTTTTTTTGTCTCAAGGATGTTCTCTCTCTCCCTATAATCCACATGAGTTCACTCACCTGTCAAGGTACATCATTGAATATATATGGGCTGTCTATATTTGCAGGAAGAACAAACTAGGATGTCTTGGGGCTGGGTACTCACAGCGCCAGCTCCAAAACTGTAATCTCCTACCAACAGAGATTAGACTGGCTTCAAGAGCAGTTTCGTTAGGTTGACTTTTGGCTGAATACTTTTTCTGTGATTCTTCACAGAAGAGTGGATTTATTTTAAATCCAAGCACCTCTTTTGCCAGCTGGGAATGGCAGCAGATGAGGGGAGGCAGAAATTTATTTATTATTATTATTATTATTATTATTATTATAAAATTTTATATACCACCATATACCCGCAGGTCTCAGGGTGGTTCACAGGATTAAATCAGAATATAAAACCGCAAAATACATTATCAAAATAAAAGCAAAACAACCCAATTACACACCCCCCATTTTAAAGGCATAGGATGTCAATCAACCAAAGGCCTGGTTAAAGAGGAATGTTTTTTGCCTGGCGCCTAGAAATAAGAATGTCACATTATGCAAACATGGACAAACTACTTTTGTTTTTCAGCTGGGGTGCAGACAGGCAGCTAAATGTCTGTTTTTGACTCTTGGGGTTTTTCCTTAAAGGTAATAATAGCTAGTTCATATTCTAAAAATAAAGTGCCCCCCTTTTTTTCTTAAAGCATTTAATGGGATATAAATAGACTGAATGCACAAATGCTTCAGAACAGCTGTTTAATTTATAAGAAAATGTAATTGAGTGATTGATTACAATTTGAATCAGCATGGATGCCTTTAGTCGAATGATGACCCTAAAATGTAAGGAAACTGATTCTTTTTTTTTAGTGAGTTAAAAAAAGGAAAGAATTCCACCATATTTTCCCTTTTTGTGTACTAAATTTTGACAGGCGCACACATATATAAATAAATAAAAGAAAATAAATAAGCATTCGCCTTCAGGAGTCCAGATGTGCCAAATGAGAATGTAAGGAGAACCCCAATGGATCAGTCCAATGGTCTGTCCAGCCCAGCATCCTCTCCTCCCCATGGCCAATCAGATGCCAGTGGGCAAGAACACCCTCCCCACTTACGCTTCCCAGCCACGGGTATTCAGAAGCATATCGCCTCCGACACCAGAGGTCACCCTCAACCATCACAACTATGCCTGATTAAGGCTAGCCATTGACAGTTTTATCCTCCACAATTTTGTCTACGAATACCTTTTAAAGCAATTTGAGTTTGTCAGCATCCCTGCCCCTTGTTGGTAGCAGACCCTGTGGCTTAAGTGTGCGCTGTGTGAAGAAGTGCTTTGGTTTTGTCTGTCCTGAGTTTTTCAACATTGGATGGCCAGAGTTCTAGTATTATGAGGGAGAAAAACATAATTCAGTTGAATCACGCCTCTATGACGTCCCCCGCTTACTTGCTTCCTTTTCCCCGAAACTAAACAAGCCCATCCCTTTTCTTATAAGGGCGCTGCCCCCAGCCCTGTGGACACTGAGAAAATCAGAAGAAACACAGAGAACAAGGTGAAGGGATATGGGGGAGAGTTCAGCTGTGGAAGGCCTGTCGGTACCCAAAAATGTTTGAAAAGAAAATACATGAGCTGGCTTGCCCCCTTATAACTATTGCTTCTAAATAACAATAACAACTGTTTCTAAATAAGAACAACAAAAACGTGTGTGTGTGTGTGTGTGTGTATGCGCGCGCCTTATGGGGCATTTCAAGTTGCTTGTCAATTTCAATTCCTCCACATCTTGCACCAAGTGTGGTTCCACCCCCGCCAGCCATTGTGATGGGCAGGTGCAGATCAAAATGAGAATGTTGTTTGTTCTGGAATGAAGGGAGGTGGTGGAGGAGCAGCAGCAGCGGAGGAGAGTCTCTCATTCAGGTTGATTTAATAATGAGGGGCATTTGAGAATGGGGGGGATCTGGGTCACTGACTTACTGTATCTGAAGATTTAGAAGTCCCACTAATTGCTTTGCAGCCCTCCTCCATCAAACTCCGCTGATGGCCTGTCTATCTCTTTTCTCCTGACCTGTAAGTGGGGAGGGGAGGGGGGAAGAATCGCCAAAGTCCTGGATTTTTATATAATACTGTGGAAAACAGCAGGCATATTCATATATTGACTCTCTACCTGCTGCCACCTCCCAGTCTGGAGAAGACAGAGAAATCCTTTGCTTGGTAACTGCAGTAACTTAGCTGTTAATTTCAAACAATGGCTGTGATTGTAAAGAGACAATAGCGATGTTTGATTTACTGTAATCAAACATAATTATAAGCCTCATGTGGGCTCAGCCGGTCATAAACAGCTCGTCTCAAACAATTCTTCTTCTGATGTTAGCGCCAACTGGAAGGAAAGCTGATTGTAACCGTCAAGGGACTTTGGAAATGTGGGGTATTTCTCTTAGGGTTCTGTTCACCCGGTAGAGGCTCCCTGGGAACGGGGTCTGTCCAACCAGCTCTCTCATTCCCCCCCCCCCCACACCGTGTAGTGAAGGCTTTATTGGAGGTGTGTGTGTGTCTTTGGTCATGTTGATAAAAATGAGCTTCTACTCCTCTGTTTCTAGCTTTTAGGGGCTGAACTTGGCAATCCTAGATGTATACATCTGGAATGTTGCTGGCAATGGGAAAAAATGGAAAAAGTCATTTTAACATGTGATAATTTTTGTCTTTATGTGTTTATTTGGTGTGGTGGTTTTTTGTTTTGCTGAAAGCCTCCTTGGGGTACATATTAGTACAGGCATCCCCAAACACGGTGCTTTAGCTGTTATGGACTACAATTCCCATCATCCCTGGCCACTGGTCCTGTTAGCTAGGGATGATGGGAGTTGTAGTCCCAAAACAGCTGGAGGGCCGAGTTTGGGGGTGCCTGTATTAGTAGAATAGCTACTGATTAAATATGATAAATGTTTTTCTGATTTGCCAGTAAAGTCACACACATAGGGCCCAGTCCAACCACAGGTTAGATATCAAACCATCTCTCCCCTTGTGATGTCATGGATTTGAGAGTTATCAGACCAGTAGATGCTGATTCAAATCTCTGCTCATTCAAGAAGGGTGAGGATAAATCACCATCCTAATCTTACCTCCCATGGTTACATGAGGACAAAATGGGGGGGGGCGTGATGCCCCATGTTCTGCTTCGACCTCCTTGGGGAAAAAGCAGGAAACAAAGATGCTAAAAGTAGGTAATAATGTAGTTAAATTTTCTGTGATAAGTAACCATGAAGTTAAACCTACTGGAGCATCTGCAGTCTTCTTCTTCTTCTTCTTCTTCTTCTTCTTCTTCTTCTTCTTCTTCTTCTTCGCTGTTTTGTACTAACTCATGATGGCCCCAGCAGAAGATTTCTCACTGAGGGTTGGTTGTCTTCTTGCTGTGGACAAGACATCTCAAGGTGATGCATGTATCCAGCCAGATGGGCGGGGTATAAATAATAAAATTATTATTATTATCCTGGTTGGTTCTTGATGGAGGGTGGAGCAAGGTGGTGAGGTCAAAGCAATGCCACCTTCTGGCAATTTGCTGGAGTCCACCACGGTCCAAGGAAGGTTGCTGGAGGGGGCTGGCAGGAGACAGGAGGTGGGTTGAAGGAGAAGACAGATGCAGCTTGGCGTGGAAAGATGAATTACACAAAGTGCTTCTTTCTTGCGAGAATGTTTCCCCAAAGGCCCAGATGTTATCCTGAGCCTTTAAGAGTGAGGAAAGGATCTGTTAGCAAGAACTCTGCTGCTGTTGGAAGCCCAGAGCTGATACAATTGCAAACCAGCCATAACTATCCGTGTCATTATTAGACGAGTGCTGGAGGTCTCTGCTGTGAAAGGGCTGGACTGCAAATTCTGGCTTAGGGGGAAATTGGGGAAGGCGAGGTAGTGTAGTTTTTAAGAGGAAGCAGGTAAAAATGTACACAATAATGTTGAATAAAAGGCTCCACCTCCCTCGCTTTCCAAACTGCCCTTTCTCAAAATAAATGCAGCCCAATTTATCAAGTTGCATCTTTCGACACCCTCTATTATTCATCTCATGTAAATCACTCCCTAAGAGGTCTGTTCCAGTTTGCTGTTTCTTTAATAGGAGCGGGTGACAACTCTCATCTGCTTTTTCTTCAAAATCCTCACCACAAAAGGCCTGTTCTTGGACCCGTTGTGACTAATTTCAGTACCCTTTCGAAACAACTGAGGTTTACAACAGAGGGCAGTTTTATGTCGGAACAGGCCGATGATGTAAAGGGTGCATCTAAAGATCTGGTTGAAGAGTCATTCCATTTCGCCAGCCCGGGAACACTGAGCACTGTAGGAAGTTATGCAAGGAGAGCCAGGGATTCCTAACTCTGAACTCTTTGCACTTTCACTATGGTCCTGTCTACGCTACACATTTAAAGCAGTAGAATACTGCTTTAAAATGACATGGTTTCTTCCCCCAAAGATTTCTGGGCGTTGTAGTTTGTTAAGTGCATCCATACCCAATAGATGCCCACTTGACCGCTTCAGTCTGCTGAACTGACACTGTTACAACTGCTATGTAACACTCATTCCACATTTGTAAGAAATGAGTCTTTCAGTGTGGCAACTTTGGAACTCCCTGTCTATTGACATCAGTCAAGCGCCTTCACTGTACTCTTTCTGGCACCTGCAAAAACCTTTTTCATTTTGGCAAGATATGTAGAATGCCGGCAGGTGTTTTAAGAAGTTATATATGTATTATTATTATTATATATATATATATATATATATATATATATATATATATATATATATAAATATAATGTTTATTGTTGGTTTAAATTATGTTTTAAATAGGTATTTTAAACTATTTTTTACTGATTTCATCCTTGTGTTTTATTCTTCTTGTGAACTGCTTTGAAGTTTGTGGTCCCCCCCCCACATTTAAGTGGCACATACATTTAACAAAATTAGATAAATTTGAAATGCTTCTTGGGAAGCAATTCATAAAGTAAATAGATTTTATTTTAATATACCTCCTCATGGTATTGCTTGTGAGGAAAATAGCATGTTTTTCAGGGAACAGATAAAGCAAAGGTACCTATGTTGGTCTGTTAGAGAAGAACTCAAAAATGAAAATCCACAGCTTGAGTGATGACTTTTATTAAGACCAACCAAACAGCAGCCACTGCTATCAGGTGACACAGAAGTTGCCCAGCTGTGGATTTGGGGATTTTTTTTCCAGGGGCACCATTTGAAGTTGTGATTATATTTTTTGGTGGGGAGTGTGCCTTTGTGTGTATGTATTTGTGGCAAACCTGTGTATTCTTTAAGATGCAATTTCCGAAAGCGTTGTGTTAAAAACATTTGATGCAGTTATTATTATTTTTTAATGCTTCTTGGAGCAGCAGGGAGAAAATCTTGACGAATAGAAACATGTCTTATAGGCTTTTCATCTGCTGCTGTTGACTACAGTTAATGTGATGCTGTTTAACTGCTCTTTGTTAGCTTTCCTTTTTTGTGATCTTTTTTAAAAAATAAAACAACAACAACCCAACAACTTATTTTTTATTTTAAGCCACCTTTTTAGTTTGATTCCCTCTTGGGAAAAGTAGCAGATAATTATCAAAATAAAGAATGTGATCTGAAAGGCCGAGTCGGGCCAAATGTTCTCGCTCTTCCCTAACAACATCCTTGCATCTTCCAGAACTTGGCTGCTTCTGAGCCAGCATGGCACAGTGGTGGAGTATGTGAAGTGGAGTAATAGAATATTTTTCAGTGGCATTTGCTAAGCCCTTTATTCAAACATTCGGAAGGGCTGTGGCTCAGTGCTAGAGCATTTGCTTTGCATTCTCTGGCATCTCCAGTCCAGGTAGTGATTGTTGGAAGATTCAGGACAGATAAGAGAGAGGACTTCTTCACACAGCACATTGTTAAACTGTGGAACTCCCACCCACAGGAGCCAGCAACTTGAATGGCAGTTCTTTGCTTCCACCGTCAGAGACAGTAATGCTTCTGAATAGCAGTTGCTGGTATTCCACAGGAGGGGGAGAGGACTCTTCTGCTTGAATCCTGCTTGCAGGTTTTCCACAGGCATCTGGTTGGCCACTGTGAGAACAGGATGCTGGCCTAGAAGGGCCATTGGCTATTTTTATGTTTTTACGTTAGGGCTGCCACCGGTATTGCAGCCAGGCTAAGCAGGGAGGCAGGGAGTGCCCAGGCACAGACAACCAAGGTGTCCTTCTGTGGCTCAGATTGTGAACCAATCCGGAGGAGAACTGGGGCTCAGCATTATGGGGCAGGGCAGATTCATAGTGGTTCCTCCCCTCCCTCTGGAATTTGTCAGACTCCCTAGTTCCATTATTCCATAAAGTGCCACTGGAATAAATGACGCTTCCACAGTAACGTAAGCAAAAGGCAGGCGTTCCCCATTGAAATTTACACTGTGTGCCAGTGTGTATTTATTTTCATTTAGCAAGATTTTTTTGACCACTTGATCAAAACTGTCTAAGCTGTGTACACAACTAAACTGTCAGGAAACACAGCTAAAATACACACAAAACCATTGATGTAACTGTATATAGTAACGAAAACACATGCAGATAAAATCTGGGAAACATTTAAAACTAGTATAAGTAAACAAATTATTGGGGTGGGGATATCTCTCTAAGTAGGCCCATTGATGATGATGATGATGATGATAATAATAATAATAATAATAATAATAATTTATTATTTATACCCCACCTATATGGCTGGGCTTCCTCAGCCACTCTGGGCGGCTTCCAAAAATATATATTAAAATACCGTAATACATCAAACATTAAAAGCTTCCCTAAACAAGGCTGCCTTCAGATGTCTTCTAAAAGTCTGGTAGTTGTTCTTCTCTTTGACATCTGGTGGGAGGGCGTTCCACAGGGCGGGTGCCACTACCGAGAAGGCCCTCTGCCTGGTTCCCTGTAACTTGGCTTCTTGTAGTGAGGGAACCGCCAGAAGGCCCTCAGCGCTGGACCTCAGCGTCCGGACAGAACGATGGGGGTGGAGACGCTCCTTCAGATATACTGAATATTGAAATTAGTGAATTTAGCTTCAGTCATGTCTACTCTGAGTATTTATTGTGTTTTTATCCAAGGAGCTCAAGGTGGCATAGATGACTCTCCCCCTCCTCATTTAATCCCCACAGCAACCCTGTGAGGCAGGTGAGGCTAAGAAGCAGGGACTGGCCTAACGTCACCCAGTGAGCTTCACGGCAGAGTGGGGATTCGAACCCTGAGTCTCCCAGGTCCCAGTCTGGGGGTTTGTTTCATTTGGGGGAAGAAAGCTGAGGGGTTAAGTCAAAGCATTTGTGGATGTAGCAGGCTTTAAGGTTGGTTTGGAAGAGAATTCCTAGGGGAATTCCAGGCATTTGGAGCAGCGAGGGAGAGTGGTCAGAGGCGGTAACTAGAGCAGAACACCTCCATGCAGTGCTGGGTTGGATTATAGGAAAAATGCCTTTCTGTGAATTATTCTGGACTTGCATCATCCTTGCTACATAGAAGCTGGCTTTTAACTGTTTCTCTTTTTGGAACATTTTGTCCCTCCCTCTTCCTCCTCCTCTCTGGGCATAGAAAAGCAACACTTTTGCTAAGGCCTTTTCTTGGCATGTGTTCTTTTCGACAAATCCAGCTTTGGAAATCTCACTTAAGCCAGAAAGGGTTTTCTGTTTGTCTATCTCTACCCATTGACGACAGCTTACTAGGGGTCTTTTATTTTGTGTTTCGAACATGTCGGGTTTTGTGTCCTGTCTGACCTTTGACTTCTGTTTGGGCAGGGGGCGCGTCTGAAAAAGGGTTTGTTCTCGTCGCCGTAATTTGTCGTTCTCTCCCACCTCCAAAAGAAATCTGAAGGAGCGGAAAAGGCCTGGCTAGTGGTGCAGCGGTAAAATGTGGCAGATAGACACTGCTTGGATGTGCCCAAGGAAGAATTAGATGGGTGGGAGAAGCCCTGAATTTGATGCAACAGAAAGAGGTGGAAATGAGACCCATAGTGGTTAGAGTGAGGTCGAGAGGCCAGAGTTTGAACCCCCACCTGGCCATGAAGCTCACTGGGTGATTTGGGACCAGCCATAGTCACTCAGCCTAACCTACCTCACAGGGTTGTTGTGTGCAGGTAAAATGAGGGGTAAAGAACTGTGTTTTCCACCTTGATCACATTGAAGGAAAGGGTGGGGGAATATACATGCAATAATAATAATTAAATTAAATTAATAAGGGAGAGAGCGAGCGAGATGCAGGTTTGCAAGCTTCACCCCCTGGAATTTGGCCCTTGGAAGACTACGCCCAACAAAATGCAGCCCTCTCCAGAACAAAGGTTGACAATCTGGGGTCTGGGGTCACTGCAAATGGTGCACAGTTCCAAAGGATTTTGCCTTCTTCACGTTGTTGTAACAAGTACCGTTTGGCATTGAAAACTGCTACTGGTAGGAACCACTGGAATTAATGGCTAATCTTCATGCTGTTATATGTAGGCCTCCATCCCAGAATTGGCATCACTTTTAATTTGTCTTGGTGGACTCCAGGCAACTCCTCAACACAGTTCCCACTGCTAATGTTCTTCTTTTCCCCCACCTGAAAGGCCAGCTGCCTCCTGCTTCTGTTTGACTTTTGCTTCTTTCCCGCTTGCTTGGCCTAACACTCTCTTCCCAGTTCTCCGCCCCAGAAATTAAGGTGTAAGAAAACTGCCACAAGTACAGATATGATGCCAAAGTGTCTATTGCTGGTTTCAGTTTCCTCCCCCCCCGCCCCACTTTTAACATTCCCATTTGTCCGATGCTCCCTTTCCTAAAAGCAGTGTTTTGATGTGCAAAGGCACTTATTTCAGACAAGGAGTAATTACTTCATACAACCATGCATTTTTTGAAAGGCTCGGTTTCCCCAGACAATGACAGATCTCTGGCATGGGGTTGCAAGAGTCAAAGCTGGTGAACGTTCATTCGCACATTTTAAAGTGGCAGTAAGTCCTGTGCAGACTTAACTGGGAATAAGTTCCTCTGGAAACATTTGATTCTGAGTAAGACATCTATAGCAGGGGTGGCTAACCTTTTTTCCAAACTGGGTGCCACCTTGAAGCTTGATCAGTCCCCCAAAGGGCTGTGTGTCAAAATGTGTGTGGCCAAAGTGTAAAAGTAGGTAGGGCAATAAAAAAGGGGGACACACACAAAAAACCCCTTTGTATAGCATTGCACGGTAAAATTCTCTTGCTATGACAGAAGGAAAGATTGTGGCAGCTTCTCCTTCCCTTTTTCTCCCTGGTTCTACTGTCCATCTCCTCCAATACAGCGGTACCTCGGGTTACATACACTTCAGGTTACAGAGTCTTCAGGTTACAGACTCCGCTAACCCAGAAATAGTACCTTGGGTTAAGAACTTTGCTTCAGGATAAGAACAGAAATCGTGCAGCAGTGGCACAGCAGCAGCGGGAGGCCCCATTAGCTAAAGTGGTGCTTCAGGTTAAGAACAGTTTCAGGTTAAGAACGGACCTCCAGAATGAATTAAGTACGTAACCAGAGGTACCACTGTACAGTCATACCTCGGGTTGAATGTGCTTCGAGATTAGCGCATTCGAGTTGTGCTCCCCGGCAACCCACAAGTCACGGAGCCCGTGACTTCCGGGTTTCACTGCTTGCGCATGCGCAGATGCTCAAAATAATGTCACATGCATGCGCAGAAGTGCCAAAACGTGACCCGCACACGTGCAGAGGTGCGGACACGGGTTACGTTTGCTTCTAGATGCGAATGGGGCTCCGGAATGGATCCCATTTGCATCTAGAGGTACCACTGTACTGTTTAATTGCTCAGGATTGTAAATAGGCCAGACTGCACTGAAATATCTAAATTAGGGGTGGCTTATACATGGGCCGATTCCGACTCCCCACTTTTTTGTGCACTCCCAAGACACCCCCTTCCCTCCTTTTTTAAATGGCTGCTCCCATGGGTCCCATGTTGGAATCAATATCCCCCATGCCCTGCGCAAGAGAGAGGTATTGTCAAGCTTGGCAAAATCCTGAGGTTTATGGGGGAAGGGGACTCCCGCAACAGCTCAGTGGGACCTGAGCATGGTCAGTGGTCTCAGAATGCTATCTGAATGTTGAGGGAGGCATAGGAAACCAAGAGGGGGAAGGAATGGGCTGGACTGAACAGGAAACCCTGCCCACTGCAAGATTTTGTTGTGGGTCCCCCTTGTTTCATATTATGTTGGCAAACCGTACCAAGGACCTAACTTTTGAAAAGGTAGGATATAACCGTTTTTAGAAAATAAATGCTGATCTTTTCATTGAGGAATTTCAAATACACTTCTGAACAAACACCAGGGTTTCTTGACATGCTATTTGGAAAAAAACAAAAACAAAACACTACTGATCTAAGGGGAATCCTTTATAAATTATTTGCTGTTGAAGATTTTCCCCCTCCTGTATTATAACAGTGCATGAATACAGCACAGGATTTATTTCAGTGTTTCTTTTCTTTAGTTTATTAAAAAAACCCAATCAATAAATTTTGTGACTTGTCTGTCAAGCTGCATGGGGGGATTCATTGATGTAGTCCATCCTTCCCCAACCTTTATCTTCCAGATGTTTGGGACTACAACTCCCATCAGTTCCAGACAACACAGATGATTGAGAGTTGTAGCCCAAAACATCTGGAGGCTGAAGGCTCTGAGCTAATGTGCTGGGTATCATCTAACATGTGGAAAGGTCTCCCCTCTAGGTGCAGCCTGTAAGCTGATGGTGCTTATCTTCCGCCTGTAAAAAACCTCCCTGTATCTAAGCACTTAAAATTTCTAAACTAGCCTTCACTCCATCCTCCTTGAGATACTAGCTTTCTGCTTGCGGGGGCACTTTTGGGTAGCAGCAGATTTAAGCAAACAACCCCCCTTCCTTCTACCTAAACTGAAGTATACCAAAAGAGTCATACTGTCAGGTGAGTCCCTCTTTGTGTCTAATACACATCAGAGGGGGAGTTCAATGCACTGATGATATATATATATATTTTAAAAGCATGCTTACGTTCAAATAATGTACTAATGCCTCCTTTCCCCCATCCACATTTGCAGCTTCACGGATATTGTTACCAAGACAGCAATGACATCGCAGACACCCTGACTGCCATCACAGAACTGGGCTCACCCCTGGAGATGATCCAGCTTTTACAGATTTCCTGGGAGGACAGGTTTCGCGTAAGTAGAGTTTCAAAGCTGAAATTTGAAGAGGCATTAACCGTTGGTGGAGGTTTCAGAATATGTGTGCAGAGTGGAACAGGATCCCCAGGACCAGTGCAAGACAGTTGGCAGCTGAATCTTACTTTGCCCCCTGTGGTAGGATAACATCACTGCACCTGAGGCAGCATGATAGTTTGGGGTGGCTGGGACAGACCACGAAGCATACAGAGCTGTGTCTTCCAACAGAGGGAAAGTGGCCTTAGGGGGAATAGACCAGAGGCTGCCACTTGCCCCCTTCCCCCTTGCATTGGCCGCCTGAGGCAGTTGTCTCACTTTGACCAACAGTAGGACCAGCTCTGAGGATCACATCTGCTGTCTCAAAGCCATTTCAAAAGCAGCTGGTTGGGTGAAGTGGCAGCACTAACTCTGCTGGACCCTCTCCTATATCGGTGGTCTGTGGTGGGCTTATGTGACAATGGCAAGTGGCAGCACTGTGATCAGCATGGAGCAACTTTGAGCTCCCGCAGTGGTGCGTTCCAGATGGTGAGGACTCCAGTTCCCGTGTTTCCTGACCATTGACCATGCTGGCTCTGGTGTATTGTAGTTGAAAACATCTGAAGGGTACTCCTTTGGCTTCCCTTGCCCTTGGGTGATGCTGTGTTGTGGGCAATTTTAATGGCAGCTCCTAGCCACCTGATGTAGAGGGTCGAGGGCAAGTGTCAGCACAGCAAGGGGGCCACGTGGAGCCCCACTAGCTGCCTGAGGATGCTGTCTCCTGATGCTGCTTCTGGTTGCCTCCAAAGCTCAAGCCCAGGGTTTCCCAAACTTGGGTCTCCTGCTGCTTTAGGACTACAACTCCCATCATCCTTAGCTAGCAGGTCAGGGATGATGGGCACTGTAATCCAAATACAGCTGGTGACTCAAGTTTGGGAAACCTTGCTCTAGCCCTACAGATGCTGCTGGGGTCCCCAGCCCCTCATCAGCCCCAGCTAGCATGGCCAGTGGTCAGGGATGATGGGAGCTGTAGTCCAACGATATATGGAGCACGACTGGCTCTTCACTCCTCCAGTAAGCCAAGCCAGAGATGGGATTTGCAATGGGTCTTGCAATGGTGTGTTGGCATTCCAAAGATTAATGTGTGCACCTATGCCGTAAGCCTACACTTCCCCCTGGGACATCTAAAGGGACAAACGTGTGTGCTGAAGACCAGGGGAAATGATGGAGAGATCCTCTTGTGTTGCACTTGGCTCTTGTAATCACCCAATCTGTTTCTAATGGTGAAAGGGCTGTTGTCTTTTTTTTTTTTTAATGCTCTGCAACAATAAACAGATCCTTCTAGGACGGCCTTGTTAGGGAAGCCAGGCGTGACAACGTGGCTCTTGTTGTTTCAGATCTGCTTCAGCTTAGTTCAGCTTCTGCATTATCTGGCCCACTCTCCCCTTGGCTCCGTGACTCTCTTGGATTTCCGACCCCGGCAGTTTGTGATTGTGGACGGAGAGCTCAAGGTGACGGATCTGGATGACGCCAGCATTGAGGAGGCCTCCTGCACGAGCAGCAGAGACTGTTTCATGGAGTTCCCGGCCAGAAACTTCAGCCTGCCTTGTTCTCTTGAGGGCAAATGCCAAAGTATGAATGAGAAGAGGAATCTTTACAATGCCTACAGGTATCGAAGCACCTGGAAATGAATGGCTATGGGCTGTCAGGAGTGGGAAACCTTTGGTTCCCCCCTGTTGAGGTTCACATTTCCTTGGGAGTGTTGGGATCCACCTCCAGAACCCTTCTGAATGTTAGAGATGGTTTTATTTCAGGAGTGGGGAACCCTACCATAGGCTACATTCCCTATGTGGCCCTCCAGGTGTTGCTGAACAACAACTCCCATCATCCCTGCCCATTGACTGTTAGGGTTGATGGGAGCTATAGCTGAGCAACACCTGAAGGACCAAGGTTCCCCACTCTTGCCTTAGGGCCTGCATGCTGACAGTGGGCAACACCAGATCCCAAAGTGGGCAGGACTGCCTAGTGCATCCCCTCTTTTTCTGTGCTATCTCATCTCTCACCCTCTGTGCCACCTTCCACCATCCTGTCCATTCCAGCTTCATCCGTCTCCAGGGTAATGTTGCACCCTGGGCTCACTATCTGACTCACTATGGAGGAGCCATATTCCCTTCTCGGTCTCCCCACTTTCTCACCTACTTTCTTACACACCTAGGCACCAACTCTATAGGGTTGATGACAGCTCAGCCATCCAAAGTGTGCAGGCTGAGCCCCCCCAAATCTTGAGGGCCTGGTCGCAGTAATGGTGGGCCTTGTGGCCTCCTCCTGACACACGTGATGTCACATGCACAGGTGACAAGTTCTCCCTCATTTCACATGAAACTCTGCCTCTGCTCACACAGAACACAAAAGAGAAAGAGACCCTGAAAAAAGAGGGGCCTGGAGAGTCCCACAGTGTCTGGTGGGCTGCATGAAATTAGGACAGGGGGTGTAACTTCCTCACAACTTATTTTCTTCTTGATTATCCAGAAGGACCACATTTGGAAGGGATGTCTTTAAACACGCGCAGCAAACACAGTCTGGCTCTGAAGGCCAAATAAATGCTAAATTTAAAGTGTTACATTACTCACACTTTCTCCAAAAACACGCTCAAGATGTTTGTTTTGAAGAAAAATCAGCTGCAGGGCCCTGAACTGCAACGTACTCCCAACTCGAAGTAGGAAACAGCAACAGATTCTTGCTGAAAAAAATCCCCCATTAGCTTTTTGCTTCTGAAGGTGAAATTTGCCACAAACAGTACATTTTGCAGGCAATTGGGTACATTTTCAAGACATGAGCCCTGCAGCTGATTTTTCTTGAAAATATTTTTTTTAAAAGCATTTTGTTTTAAAGTGTGAGTAGTGCAAAGTGTAGTTTGGCCTTGACTCTCTATGGTTCATTTGGTGATCAGGATTCTGTGTTTACTCCCCAGGTGTCTTCATGTTCTCAAGGCATGGTTTGAAGTCATGCAATGTAGCAATCTACTGAAGCTAAGCATGTCTAGGTCTGGTCAGTCCGTTTGGTGGGAGACTGCCTGGGAACGCTATAAAATAAAGCAACTCTTTATAGTGTGGCTCATACAAAACCACTCATCAGAGCTGGGAAGGACTTTTAACTTGAACCCAGCTCTGTATTCTATCTGCAAACCAACAAATCTTATATTAATTCTTTCCTATGACTTCATTTAACACACGTGCAGCAAGTGTTTTTATTTTCTCCCCCAGGTGTGAGCGACTTTTTTATATGACTGACAGCAGGATCTATGCATGCAGAGAAAATGTTATTTCTTACTTTTTAGGACTGGCGTAGGGACAGGGCATCATCCATTGAAACGTCCTATTTATGTTACCAATCTGCCCATGACCTAATAACTCATCGGTCTGTTTATACTGTCCATCTTGTTAAAAGTAACTCTGAAAAGAGACTTGATAGACTGCAATGGTAGTATGGGATTGGCAGAAGAAATTCAAACTTCATATCCCTTGATAAATCATGCCATTGTGGTTTAAAAATTTTAGTTTTCCGGTAAGTTTTGCCATTTCTGTATATTCCAAAAGTTTTTGTATCCATTCTTCTTTTGGAGTCTAGTTGATTCTGCTTAACATTACCTGCACCCCATCTTGAGACTATTATAAGCTCCAGACTTTCAGCTTACAAATCTTGCTCAACTTTTCCTATTCAACCCACAAGTTTGATTAACATCAAGCCTCCAGAAAAGTTCTGGACAACTCAAAAACTTAGTGACATTTTGACAATAGAGTTATTGCCTGACTTTAGAGCCTTTGTGTAGCAAATTATGCAGAGCCACTAATGAAAATAGGCTCATTTAAAAAAGAGAGAATTGGAATTATAAACCAAATTCTGTCGACTGAATTCTGCGCCTTACATAAATTGTGTCATATGTCCAATACTTTGCTGGGAAGCACTGGAAAATATTAGTGGTTTGATGTCAATCTGGCTGGTTGCTTTTTGGGATTGGACACGTGAAAGACGTTTTGAATTTACAGTCCTTAAATAAATAAAAAGCCTTGTCCAAGCAGAGGCAGACAGCTTTACAAATAGATCAACTTCATGGTGTGTGTGTTTTTTTACTTCAAATCTCTACGTTAATAAAGTATTTACAGGTAGTTAGTTACAAGGTGGCCTTGTCCAAAGCAGCTCTGTCTATGCTTCACCCAGCAGCTGTGTGAATATAGCCGCAGCTTTATATTTAATTATAGAATATGATTCTATTTCCTGCATAGCTCAGAGACTTGTAAATTACTGGAATTTTATTATTCATTTATGATGTCCTGCGGTTACTAAACTCACAAAACTAACAACTTTCACTTCTTTGTAGGTTTTTCTTTACTTATCTTCTGCCGCACAGTGCCCCTTCATCCCTGAGGCCGTTGCTCGATGCGATTGTCAATGCTACAGGTAAGAAACGTGTCATGATCTCCACTGGATTAAACTGAAAGCTTCCCTTCTCTCCAGCATCCTGCATCCCACTGTGGCCAATCTGATGCTCTTCCTCCGTCAGAACATTAGAATTCATGGGCATCCTATGAAGCTGAGCGCTGGAAGATCCAGGACAGAGAAGAGACAGAGAAGATGGATCTTGCTCCTACAGGAAGCACAGTGATGGCTGCAAACCTGGATGACTTTAAAAGAGGATTAGATGCCTTTGTGGAGGATAAGGCCATCATGAGCGGCTATGAACCATGATGGCTGTGCTCTCCTTGGTCGGAGGCATTAATGCTTCTGAATACCAGTTGCTGGAAGTGACAGGATGGGGAGAGCACTGTGGCACTTAGATCCTGCTTTGTGGCCATGGGCATCTGGTTGGCCACTGGCCTGATCCATCAGGGCTGTTCCTGTGTTCAAGAAGTCCGGGTGCAGGATTTGAAGGCAATGCAGTGGTACCTCGGGTTACAAACACCTCAGGTTACAAACACTTCGGGTTACAGACTCCGCTAACCTGGAAGTAGTACCTCGGGCTAAGAACTTTACCTCAGAATGAGAACAGAAATTGTGCGGCGGCGGGAGGCCCCATTAGCTAAAGTGGTACTTCAGGTTAAGAACAGACCTCCAGAATGAATTAAGTTCGTAACCAGAGGTACCACTGTACAGTGGACGCTCGAGTTGCGAACGTGATCCGTGTGGGATGCACGTTCGCAACCCGCAGCGTTCGCAACCCGCAGCGGCACGTCTGCGCATGCGTGGGTTGCGATTTGGCACTTCTGTGCATGCGCAAAGCACGATTTAGCACTTCTGCGCATGCACGACCGCTGAAACCCGGAAGTAACCCGTCCTGGTACTTCCGGGTTTCGGCGGGTGCGTAACCCGAAAAAATGCAACCTGAAGTGGCTGTAACCCGAGGTATGACTGTAGAGAGGTCTATCATCCCCCAGCAACTGGAATGCAGTGGGGGGAATGTGAATGTTAAGAACATAGGAAGAGTCTGCCAGGGCCCCCCATTTGCTGCTCCTTGGAGAAAGACAGAAGTGTGATTAATAATAGTTTCGTTTGTTCTCCCTTGCTGTTCCATCTATTGCCCCAACTTCTGTCATTTTGCCCCCTATTAGCCTCCACAATGAAGCTACATCTTGCCTGTCTAAAGCTCCCCTAGCTGTTGCTGTACACCAGGTTTCTTGCTGTCCCTAAGATGTTTCCCTTGTTATAGGAGAACTTCAGTGGGGAATAGACGAAACGGCTGCTCAGCTTGAAAGAGTTTTGCATTTATACAAGAGTGGCATGTACCTCCAGAATTCTACACGGACACCCCGGTCAGGTAAAGTATCACTCCCTGCGGGGCAGCAAATTAGTCTTGACTCAGGATGGCTGCATGCTGCCTTTCTGGCTAGGGGCCTGGTTGTTTTGTTGCAGTCCTACATGGGTCCTGATGGAGGGTGAGAATTCAAAGCAGTGTCACCTTTTGGTCTTCTTCTTTGGCGATCACTCGTAGCCGAGTAAGATTGTCTTCCATGAACACAGTCTTAACAGTGAGTTCGTAAGTGACTGTGGAGACCAGTTCTGGATCCACACTTCCTTTCACAGTGGGGACATAGGTTTCCAGGCAGGAGTTGATCACGGTGAGGGTTTGCCAAGCATGCCTTCCGCCTCGCTCATTTCTCCCTTTCGTCCTGAGTGTGAATGTCTTCAAAGTCCATGACACCTTTGGTAAAGGCTGTTCTCCAACTGGAGCGCTCGCAGGCCAGTGTTTCCCAGTTGTCTGTGTTTATACCACATTTTTTAAGATTTGCCTTGAGACAGTCTTTAAACCTCTTTTGTTGACCACCAGCATTACACTTTCCATTTTTAAGTTCGGAACAGAGTAATTGCTCTGGAAGACAATAATCAGGCATCCAAACAACATGACCATTCCAACGAAGTTGATGTTGATGTTGAAGAATCATTGCTTCAACACTGGTGATCCTTGCTTCTTCCAGCACACCTTCTGCACACTGACAGCTCAGGGGTGGGGTTGGTAAAGGTGTCATTGGATTTGGGGTCTCAGACTCCTAATGGTCACTGAGCATCAATCTGTCTGTGTCTTTTTATCCCGGCTTGAGGTCTCTTGGCTGTATGGTGCTATCATATGGGTAGCAGAACTATAGAAGTATTATCAAGTAGCATCCAGGTAGTCAGATGACCTCCCAACCACCCTATGGGTAGGTTTTGTGTATGGCTAAAGACAAGAGGGATGAGCAAAGTAGAAATTTTAGTGAGGGGACTGTTGTGGGAGTAGTTCCATTCCTCTTTGTTGGGTTGAAACCACCCCTTAGGCTAAAAGCAAAAGTCCAGAGCTCTTGACTGGGTTTCCATTTGGTTCCATAATTACTTATGGAGGAGATGAGGCTTGCCAGTGTGGACAGCTCCAGGGTCAACATCTTAGTAAGAAACTGGCAGGAAAGGTTGGTACAGGTGCTCCTTTAACTTTTCATATTTTGCCGTTTTCCATCACGCACTTTGCTGAGTGACAGTGTCAACACAGCCCAATTGCATTTCAGCTGCACAATCCATCCTTTGTTGGGAGAGTGCCAGGATGCTGGGAATTATTCTGGGGTGTCTGCTGAATCCAGTTTTAACAGCATCATTAGAATAGTACAAGGTTCACCCTAACAGAAACAGTGCGTTGGCCTGCTAAGATGGAGCAAAGCTACGCTGACATTCAGCTGGAGTAACATCTATTCAGACTTAGTTTTTATTCCTCGGAAACTCATGTAACAGCAACTTCTTAGCATCCAACTACCTCTGTTTTGGCATTGGCTGAGATCCATTTTGTTTAGAAACCATTACGATAGTTCTCCCTAAACTGCCAGAAGAGGCTGGGCTTTAAATCACAATAGTTTTTAATTATCTGCACATTTCATCCCTGGTCCAGAATCCTGCGTGGTATCATGCAGGCTATCCCATCTATTTCAGTGGCAGCAGCAAATCTGCCTTTCCTGTTCAACGCTCGAATGCTCTCTGCTGCTGCTGGACTGAAGGTTCTTTATCAATGTATAGGTAAAAATGTTTAGAATAGCCTCGCGATTGAGCCCGAACTGTTTCCCAAAGCCTTTTCCCATGCCCAGTTAGTAAGGGAAAGTGTCAGTGGAAAAGCAACTTCATGAAAGTTCTTGTCAATCTGAGCTTTCCCATAAATAAACGTTAACAAGATAAATCTTAGTCATGTTACAGAAGGACTTGGGTCTTAAGCTTTCACTGTGCTTTGGTTGTAAAACTTTTTATAGTGCCGTAAATTATATTCTACTTTGGACTTCGCTTTAGTGATACAGAAACAAAGCATGCGTGTGTGCGTGTTGCGGGGGGGGGGAGAATTTAATAGTCATGTGTGTTTTCCCTAATCGTAAATCACCCCATTATTGAAGTTTGTTATCTGGATGCTGGAGTATTTAAAATGATGCTGAATTCAAGAATACTTCTACAGGTGTTTTTTAAATACAGGTTGCAATAAACCCTGAAACAAAACAAAACAAAAAAGACTGTAAACAGGGAGGGCTAATGGATCAAAATATAAACCACCTGCCTTTGAATATATTTATAGGTGGCTCAACAACTAGAAACAAATATTCCAAATTTTAGATCAACTGCATTCTTTCTGTGGCACCCCTGTGGGGCTCAGGAGCCCAGTTGTGTCACCCCTTGCCTGCAGAGCTGGCAGCCCCTCACCCCTTTTCGAACACCCTCCCTTGGGGAGTGTTCTCTCAGCCTCCTCTTCTCTTCTTTCTCCTTGGGAGTCCTCCGGTCAGCTGCTGCTGCCATCCCTGATCTCTAAGCTGCCCCCACCCAAGAGAGGTGCTTTCCTTATAGCCAGGGCTGCTGCAATAAACAGCTGTGCAAGCCTTTGGCAGGCAGAAGTACAAGAGGACATCAGAGGACGAAGGGAAGGGGAAAGAGGCACAGAGGCCAGTGTTTCCTGCAGCACCCCTGACCAGAATTCAAGGCACCCCAGGGTGCCACAGGACACTGGTTGAAAATGACTGCCATAGTGGCATCCTGTAATGCAAAAGGAGGAGAGAGGTTTTCGTTGATTACCTCTTCCCTCTGTAATGCTCTCACTGCTACAGATGCTGTTTTTAATGTCTTTTCACTCTTTACTCCAGAGCAGCGGTTCTCAACCTGTGGGTCCCCAGATGTTGTTGGACTACAACTCCCATCATCCCTGAGCTCTGGCCTTGCTAGCTAGGGATGATGGGAGTTGTAGTCCAACAACATCTGGGGACCCACAGGTTGAGAACTGCTGCTCCAGAGGAAGCTAGGAGCTGTAAATAGGATGGCCGCGTGTCCTGGTTCACAGAAAGAGGGCAGTCCTCTGTTTTGAGGCAGCCACTGTTTGAAGGGCTGTTTGGTGCAAGTCCACCTTGAAGATGGAAATCGTAAGAAAGGAGAGCTGGGAGGACCTTGAAGTTGCCCATCCACGCCTTGCCAACAAACTGAGCAGGCCACGTGGTCACAATCCTTTCCATTATGCTGAGATGCATTGTATTTCTAGTTACATGATTTATGAATTTGTATTTAGGCCTATCGGTTAGCATATGTAACTTTTATGCAAATCCTTGCCCTCCATTTTGGCACCGCCTCAGCAGCTCCCCTAGCTATAATGCTGTGCCATTTTGCAAATAAGTTCTAATCACTTCCACTTCTCTCTTTGGACCCTGCCTTTGGTATTTAATTTGCCATTACAACAGATGGGTGGCGGCAGGGAGAGTAAAGCTATTTCTTTGTCAAGGCTACCCGTTGCTGCAGCTGTGTCCCTGGACCAGGGCATATTGGCAGGTGATAAATAGAAAAGGAGACTGGGCAGCTTTCCAACTGGTAGCTACAGTTGGTAGTAAAACACACATACACGCACACACACCCAATTGGGCTGCTGCGGCTGAAATAAATGGCCGTTAGGACTGATTAAATTCAGGTGGAGGGTGACTCGAGCAGGCTAAAAGGACGAAACCGCAACCTGTTTTCCCTAATTTATATTAAATTGCCGTCCCAGAGCGTATGCTTGCGACCGAGTCTGGGGAGAGGCTGGCATGCCTGTCTGAGTGCAGAGAGCCAAGGTGGCTTTTGGTTTACCAGTAAGAAGGGAGAGAGACTGTTGCACCATGATGGAGTGCAGCAGGGCTTGCAAAAGGCACTAAGTCCAGCCCCCAGCAATACCAGTTAAAAGCAGATGATGAGAAAGGTGTCTCTGCCTCCAGGTGTGTGTGTGGGGGGGAACTGTTTTTTCTACTGGGGGGGCCCTCAGTCTCTTGAGACTAATCTGTTGGAGGCCACATGACAGTGGAGGATGTGGCTGGAACCAATGGTGGAAGAAGAAAAATATAACAGCAGCAGCAGCAGCAACAACAACAACAACAATGTTTTATTTGTACCCTGCCCATCTGGCTGGGTTTCCCCAGCCACTCTGGGCAGCTTCCAACAAAGATTAAAAATACATTAAAATGTCAGACATTAAAAACTTCCCTGAACAGAACTGCCTTCAGATGTCTTCTAAATGTCAGTTAGTTCCACAGGGCAGGTGCCACTACCGAGAAGGCCCTCTGCCTGGTTCCCTGTAGCTTTGCTTCTCACAGTGAGGGAACCACCAGAAGGCCCTCGGCGCTGGACCTCAGCGTCTGGGCAGAAAGATGGGGGTGGAGACGCACCTTCAGGTATCTCACTGCTGCTATCCCCACCCCCACCAATAAGTTCAAAACTCTTAATTTGTCCTGAGAACTAGCTCACACCCTCCAACATTTCTCCGATGGAAATAGGGAGTCCTATTTAACAACACAATAATTTTTTTATTATTTATACATCTGACTGGGTTGCCCCAGCCACTCTGGGTGGCTTCAAGCCTATTTAAAAACATAATAAAACATTAAACATTGAAAAAAACTTCCCTATACAGGGCTGTCTTCAGATGTCTTCTAAAGGTTGTATAGTTACTTGTCTCCTTGTCTCGGGGGTCCCATAACTCCATACCCTCCAAAATTTCTCTGATGAAAATAGGGACACCCTAAGGAAAAGCGGGACATTCCGGGATCAAATCAAAATCCAGGACAATTTCTGTAAATCCAGGACTGACCCTGGAAAATAGGGACACTTGGAGGGTCTGCTAGCTAGGAAAATGGAAACTGTTGAGAAATTGGAGGGCAGATTTTGGCACTGCGGGAGTACCCTCACTTCATTGACTGTCTTGTGAACTTTACAATAATAGTCTTAAGCAGAAATAAGAGTTTGGGATTAGGATGATGAGTACATTGTAATCTCTATAATGTGACATTACAGTGGTAGCTTTAACCCATGCCATGCCAAACACACACACACTCTGTGTGTGTGTGTGTAGCTGAATGTGTGAATTTATTGCCACTGTTATAGTATTAGGCAGGTTATTTATAGGTTTTTAACGCCATTAGTCTGGAAATTGAGCAGAACTTTGACCTTTTTATGATGTGAGTTGCTACAAGGAGCCTTCAAATTCCATGGACACCATTTAAGCAGGTTTCAAGTTTGGGCGAGACAAAACAATCCTGGCTTGAACCAAACCTTTCTAAGTGGGGTGATTGTGGTGGAATTCCTAAATTTAGTTCTGAGTACATTGAATAGAAATAAGGCCTGTGTCACCAAATGGCATCCTATTACCAGGAGTTTTTTTGGGGGGGTGAAATCATAGTAGTACTAGAAGAAGAAAATATGGTTTAGGTTTATTAAATTTATGTATTGCTTCCCACTAATAAAGTCCTGAAGCAATTTAGAACTAAGTAAAAATATAATGTTGAAATCACTAAACATATTTAAAACAGATTTAACAATGCAATACCAAATCATTGGTCTTGCCCAAAGGCCTGTGAAAAGAAAATAATTTTTTACTGGTGCCAGAATGCTGACAAGGGTGAAGCCAGGTGGGTCTCCTTGGAGGAGAGCAAACCAGGGGTCAGCAAACTTTTTCAGCAGGGGACCGTCCACTGTGCCTCAGACCTTGTGGGGTGCTGGACTATATTTTGAAAAAGAAAAAAAGAACGAATTCCTATGCCCCACAAATAACCCAGAGATGCATTTTAAATAAAAGGACACATTCTACTCATGTAAAAACACACTGATTCCCAGACCGTACGTGGGAAAATAGGGACACTTGGAAGGTCTGTAACTCCTGTAGTAGAGTTTATACACACCCCCTCCCCAAATGCCCACTCACATTGCTGGATTTAGATGAAACCACAGACAGGAAGACCACATATTCCACTGCCCAGAGTCCATGTGCCATGGCACCTGTCGCTATGGCAACAGCCAGGTCGGAGCAGGAAGTGTGGATTGTGAAGAGCGGCCCAATTTAGTCCTTTGGTGGTCCAGCCTGAACCTACTTATCTCCTTTAATTGCATGTACAATCCCCCCACAAAGGATCCCCGTTCAATTTTTCTGTATACTTTAAATACCCATGCGACTATAGTATAGTCCTCCAAGGCCTGAGAGGCACACTTGCCATAGGTTTCTAGTGATATTTATGAGTTCGTCATAAAGCTCTTGTTTCAAATGGGCCTAATTCTTAAGAAGCCATTACAGCCAGCATCTCTTTCTCTTTGTCTAATAGTTTGCATCCATCTGTGCTGTGCGTCAAGGCTTCTAGCACGTGCTGACGGGTTTATAGATCCCCTGGGCCTTGTCTTCCAGCCTGCATAGTGCGTTTTGGGTGTGTGTGTGTGTGTTTCTTCCATTGGTTGGCCTGCTCTCCAATCGCTTCTTCCGTTCCTCTCTGGCAAGGCAAAGCAAAGCAAAACAGAGGACAAATAATGTTGCATTCTTTTCCTCCACCGGGTGTTCTGCCAATTGTCAGCCGGTGTGGTCCATTTGACAGAGTACTGGACTTTAACCTGACTTCAGACCTTCGTTCAGCCATGAACTCAGTGGGTGGGCTTTGGCACATCATTTTAGTGGGGAATGATGGAGGCCCACCTTAGGAAGTTGCTGAAGCAACAATGAGCAGGTACCTCACAGATTCTTAAGGCTGTTGTGGTTCCCCACTTCAGTGAGGGACAGGATGTTCCAGAGCAGTGCTACCAAGCTTGATTTCGTTGGATGAGACTGTGATGGAGACTTATGTCACCTCTGCGATATTTGAAAGTAGCTTTTCAAAAAGCTTTTGAGAAAGTCCCGCGAGTCAGCTTAGCAGTCGTGGAATAAGAGGAGAGGTCTTGTTAGGAACTGATTAAGAAACAGGAAGCAGAGAGCAGGGAAAGATGGACAGTACAATAAAAAAACCTGCAAATATATTTAGAATAAAACAGTGCAAGATTCAAAATAGGCACCCATGCTCGAGAGACCCATTCATCCCGTTGAGAAAAAGTTCTGGAACAAAAATGTCATCAGTTGTTTTCCAGAAAGTGCAGATAGTTCCTGTCATATCACAACAGGGAAATAGACAGTGAAGTCCCCTAAGGATTGCTATTGAGACCTGTGCTTTTTAACTTGTTCATTAATAAACTAGAGTGTTACGTACTTCCTTGGACGTACCTGCTTTTTGCCTTAAGCAACTAGGGATGTTGCTATTCACAAAGCTAATTTTATAAATTAGTAATTGCTCTTCAGTTCAAACTGCAAATTTAGGATTTTGAATCGAATAGGTACAGTTGGTTCTCAAACAATGCGTTCTGGGAGTCCGTTCGACTCTCGGAACTGGTCAAAAACCAAGGCATGGCTTCCGATTGGCTGCAGAAGCATCCTGAAGTCAACCAGAAGCCGTGCAAGACATTCAACTTCTGAAAATCATTAAAAAACCGGAACACTCACTTCCAGGTTTTGATCGTTCGGGAGCCGATTTGTTTGGGAGCCGAGGCATTTGAGATCCAAGGTACAACTATATAGGTAAAAGTCCAAAAAATCACTGGTGAATACCAGTGATTTAAAGGGGAAGGGTCACAGTTCAGTGATGGCACATGCTTTGTGTACAAAATTTCCCCTGGCATCTGGTGAGGCTGAAACCTTGGAGACCTACCACGACTCCTTGTAGATAATACTGAGCTATTTTACATATTTCATTTCATTTATCTGGGTTCTCCTTCTATCCTGGAGCCCAAAGTGATGCACCTATGGTTCTGAATCAGTCCAGACCTAGCCCTGTTTAGCTTCAGAAAGGTGGTGGCCTCATAGGACTTCAGATCATCCCCTGGAACCAATGGTCTGGTTTGGTGTGAGACAACTTCCTGTGTGACTATAGGGTTGGAGAACCTCTTCCAGCCGTGGAGCCATATTGCATCCTGGCCAGAGGCAAAAGGTGTCAGAACAATAGATGGGACTTCTTTACCTTTGTGCAATGAACTAAATCCCAGCCATCCTCCATCGAGGCTAGCAATGGGCATTATCAGAGTTGAAAGACAGACCTCATAAGTTTAAGGCACCCTTCAGCCAGGTCAAAGCAGCCAAAGAGCGTGCAGAGCAGGACCAGTGTGGGGTGCAGCCTGCAGAGAAAGGCCATGGCCTATGAGAGTCCTGAGGGTCAGATAGGAAGATCTTGAGGGCCACATTTGAGCTTCCTCACTCCTGCTGGAAATAGTTTTTGGACATTGACAGCATTTGCCTCTTCCAGTTTACGGGTGATGTTCTCTGTGTTCACAAGGTCAGCTGATACTCATCTCGCTCTGTGTGGGGCACTGTCTCCTTCCTGGAGGAGGAGCACCACATCCCGTTCCCCCACTGGCCTTGCTTTTAAACTAGCATGCAGACGGAAGAAAAATAACAACTGTTGAAAATCAGTGGCTATTCCAAGTTCCGTGCCAGTCTTGAGAATCTGCCAAAAACTGCTCCAAACAGAGGCCCTGTGTCCTCATAGAGAGCCCCTTCCAGTTGTCCTCCTGGTGCTTCTCAAACCTTTCTCTTTCTCAGATGGCAGCTTTCTACCTTTCCCCTCCTGTTCAGCAACTTCCTCATCTCGGTAGGGATGGATGAATCTGTCAGATTCAGTCCTCACCCCCCCCCATTTCTCATTTTTCCAGTTGTAATTTTCCACATGCATAGCTGCTATTAAAAAAAAGAAGTCTACAAAAAACATCATAGCATTTTCGTGCACATTAATCCTAATATACACATTACTGGACTCGCTTTTCGGTTGCGGAGCTGCAATGCAAAATTCAGGAGAAGCGTGAATTTCAACGGGTGGTTGCATTTTTCAGTCCACGTATAGTTTTCGGGAAGTGGGAATGAGTTGGGTGGTTCTCATTAGAACGAGACCAGAAATTATTTCTCGACTCATCTCGGGACCCAGCTAGTCCCCCTCCTCTCTGCACATTTGTGTGCAGCCTGCGTTGCCATTTACTAAATATGTTATGACATAGTATTTATATTAGTCCAGAGCCCGGAGACCTTTGGAGACCTCTGTGGCTTCCGGGCTCTAGGAATTTGACAGATGGGTCTGTGCCGCATACCTCTGCAAGCTGCCAGGAGTGGAAAGATTTACTTTATTTGCCTGAACCTTTTCGCAGGAACAGAACACGTTGGGTAATATTACAAGAGCTTTATTTAGACCACGGAACTCACAAGGGCTGGGGGGGGGGGAAGAAGAGTGACCGTTAGTCTATCTCTGGTAATGACATTTCCGAGCAGGCAGAGCAGTAGGGCAAAAGCCAGAATTAATGGCAGCAAAAAGAACAAGCTATGCAGACGTTGCTTATTTGATAATAACAAATTGGTCAGATACTGTATAGAATCAGAGAATGGTAGGGTCAGAACGTCCCCCAAGGGGTAAAGGTAAAGGGACCCCTGACCATTAGGTCCAGTCGTGGCCGACTCTGGGGTTGTGGCGCTCATCTCGCTTTATTGGCCGAGGGAGCCGGCGTACAGCTTCCGGGTCATGTGGCCAGCATGACTAAGCCGCTTCTGGTGAACCAGAGCAGCACACGGAAACGCCGTTTACCTTCCCACCAGAGCGGTACTTATTTATCTACTTGCACTTTGACGTGCTTTCGAACTGCTAGGTTGGCAGGAGCAGGGGCCGAGCAACAGGAGCTCACTCTGTCACAGGGATTCGAACCACCGACCTTCTGATCGGCAAGTCCTAGGCTCTGTGGTTTAACCCACAGCGTCCCAGCCCCCAAGGGGTAATCTCGTCCAACCCACAGCAATGCCATACCGTTCAACTGCCCCATTTTAAGCAGGAATTACAGAAGCCAATCCTGGCTTCTGACCCTTTTTGGTCCAGTACTCTGGTGTGACCCGCCTGACTCACACCAGAATGCCAGACCAAAAGATGCAGCAGGTTGAACTAGATGATCCTTGTGCATAGCTGTCATCTTTTCCCTTTTCTTGCGAGGAATCCTATTTGGAATAAGGGAATTTCCCTTAAAAAAATGGAAACATTGACAGCTATGTCCTTGTGGCCCCTTCTGACCTTCTGAACTTACAGTGCTATGATTCTATGAAGGCATCTCCTTGGGGTTCAACAGGAGTTGCTTTAGCATGACAGATTTCTCCTTTTGGCTTTGAGCTGCAACCTGGAGCTTCAGTGGGTAAGGAGTGAGGTGGGGCTGCATGTCAGATGAGCTGGAAAACAGCGCTCAGCTTACACTCTTCAGGCTTTGAGCCAGAGCTGGTTAAAAAGGACCAGAAGGCTGGGGGAATCTCACCTGCTCCTTGGGGGAAGGAACAGTGAGATGTCAGTGCTCTAGTTTAACCCCAGACTCAGGTTACCAATCGTTCTCATTCTGAATTGCAGATTCAGTGCTCTTGCCATTCTGGCTAAGTCCCCATAAGGGTCTCTTGTCGTCTTTCCGGCATATATAGAAGGGACCCAAGGGTCATTTAGTCCAACCCCCTGCAATGCAACTAATACAGAAGATTAGTTGGGTTTTGTGGGTCTTGGGAGTTGATCCCAAGGTTTGGGATTTTATCCTTCTGGTCAGCACCCAGAAAAGGTGTCAAATATCAGGGTTTAGGTCCAGAATTAAGAAGGCAAGTTATTTTGAGAACCTCTGTGGTACCCATTTTTGTCTGGATTTTGCTTTTAAAAGTGGTTGCTGGCAGCATGAGACTCTTGGCTTTCTCCACCATAATTTTTTTTCCAGGGTGGGGGGCTTCAAAAGCAAATTCCCACCCCTTAGGATTCAGATGATAAGTTTAGTGGGCAGTACCTGGTGTCTGTTCGCACCGTGCATAGCTTCATGTCTCTCTCCCACAAGTGGCATGCAAAGTTTGTGACTGTCCTTAATATGGACAGCCTGCAGTAGGTCTGCTCAGAAGTAAGTCCTGCTGATTTTCATTGAGGCTTACTCTCAGATACATGGGTATAGGGTTGCAACCTAATACAGGCCGTAAGATCCGTCTGTGCAGAATTTTAATTCTGTTTCAGAACCCAAGCTCTGTCGAGAATGCAGGAGTCTACTTCCTGAATGTGGTTTTGCATTTTGCTTCCTCGTTGTCAGAGGAGGAGAAGCCAAGGGCTGTGTGAAACCAACGTGTGTTTACTAAATATTTCACATACTTTCCAAGGAGATGGTGTGTGGAATGCATCCTTAATGGTGTGGGGAGCAATTTTCATATAAACCAATCTGTTGTCTGTTAGATTGTACGCAGTCCCCAGGACGTGAGGCCTCCTCTCAGGTAAGCCCGTGTATAATCACAGCCAAAAGTTAACTCTGTGACTGTTGAGTTGGAAGCATCCTTAACAAAGCCCCGTTCCAAAATATCAACAGGCTGAAATTTCATAGCTGCAGGCAAAAAAACAAAACAACCCCCTCTTCTTGAACTGAAATGACTCCAACAAAACACGAGGCTGTGAAACTAGAAATTCAGCTTACAGTTTGTTTAATGGGTACAATTAGAAGCGCGTGGTTTTGTTTTTTTTCCAAAAAAACGGAAGGGTGATTTGTGAGTCCATCGGCTAAGTAGAAATGTTTATAAATGATTAGTTTGATTTGCCTGGTGCATTCATAAACCGGAGACTGCAGGCAGCTGGGAAACGGCCTAGAGCCTTGAACAGGGAACAAGACAGAGAAAGGCGCTCAGAGAAGGGAGACTGAACGGCAGCCAATTGGGGCAGCTAATCCACAGGCAATGCCGCAGTGCTGGGCAAGCCCTGAACAACCCCATGTCATTCCTCCCCCCCCCCCATGCCTTTATCTCGGGGGCCCCATCAAGCAAACTGCCCTTTTGTATTGCTCCTAGGAAGAAATAAAAAAGTTTGCTTAATTAAAAACCTGTCTTTTCTTCACAAAAGCAGAGAAAAACAGCCACGCTCTCCTGACTCAGAAGGAGGGCCGAGGCGCCTGATCAGGTCTTGCCCTGACAATTCAGCCCCCTGTTCAGAGCAAATGATGGCTGAGTCGCCTGTTCATTCAAGTGGATGTTGTTTGCTCAGTAGAACATTCTCTCCATAAAGAGCTCGACGAAATGAAAGGCTTGCGGTACGCAGGAAGGAGACGAGGGATAGAATTTTAGGGGCAGATGGAGTTTCTTGGCAAACTTTTTTCTTTTTTCTTCTCCACCAAAACGAGCATAGCAAAATATTCCTTTTGGCAGATATTTTGTGCGTGATTAACACACACACACACACACACACACACACACACCAGCAATATATTTCAGAAACGGAGAAGAGGGCCAGTAACAATTTCTAAGACTATGTTGGAGAGGACCCACTTTCCTTAAAAATAGCACGTGTGGAATATTTGCATTTCTTTCCCCTACAGATTACAGAAAGGTGCCTGAAGCCACTATCGTCAATGAGAATTACAGGTGCTGGCCCTCCTACCATCACAAGGAATGTCTCCTATCCGTGTTTGACGTTAGTGAGGCCATGGAGGTTTGCGAGAGTCATTCCCAGTGTAAAGCTTTTGTGCTCACCAATCAGACAACGTGGACAGGTAACAAATGCCGGCGGCCTGGAGTTACTATCATTCCCTCCTAGCAAGATGGCCACTAAGGAATAGGATTGGCCCTGTTCTCCTTTCAGAGCTCAAACATGCAAAATAAGAGGAAACCGATTGATCTGTTTGCTGCTGATGTCACAGCAGCCTCTAACACTGCTGCATGGAGAGTGCCTTTCCCTCTTTTATTTTCCATTGAAAAATGGCGAAAGCAAGAGGGGTGGGTCTCTTCTACCTAGAGCAGGGGTCAGCAACGTGCGGCTCATGGGCCCCTGAGCTGCCCCCGAACTGAGCTGCCCGCTCAGTGAGTCCCCCCTGTGCTGCGCTAAACCAGCACAGTGCAGGGACCCCTGACCTAGAGGCTGCCAGTTTCACTGAGCAACTTTTTATTTTCCCTGAACTCTTCAGTATTCCAAAAGTTTATGGAATGTTTCTAGCTGTCTTCATGGGGGCCCATTTGCACGGCCACCTATGTTCCAGGCTTTCGATCACATTTCGGTTCCCAGGAGTTCCATATAGCTGTTGAGCATAACAAAATCTCTCTTGGCAGTGTCCAGAGCACAACATTATGTTGCTGATGGAAGCACTTGAGAGGCGGGTAGAAATTGTATTAAGTTTAGGCAGAAGGTAGAAAACAGCCGAGCAGCTGCAGAAGCAATCCTGCAAAATGCATTCCAGCACCTTGCCTTTATCGGTCGTCACGAGTGCCATAGAGATTAGTGTGTGTGCTGGATGACCGCTTCCAGCTGGATGAAATGTGAGCAGGATCTTCCTTTGACAAGCAGAGCCTTCTGCCCTCCCATCTAGACATTGGCAGATGCGAACAAATGCTACTTTACTCAAAGGGAAGCCTCAAATGAACTCTGGGATCTTTGTGGGGATATACGTTAGAGGTCATGCATGTTTCTGGTAGTCTTACTTATTTAATATTAACATTAAAAAAACCCTCTTTCCTGCCTAGGAGAGGAACTTTCAAAGAGTTAAACCCAATTAAAACATGCAGGTTTGCACTGTTGAGGTTTACAGGGAGCTCGTATGCATTGCTACTTGGAAGTAACTATCATTGAACTCGATGGTGCTTATCTCTAAGTAAGAGGTTTTCAGGATTGCACCCTAAATTATGCACAGTGCTGGAAACCTCCATAGCGTGATATTTATTCCCATTTGAACATGAAACCTGAAATTTCAGCATTTAGTATTATTTGGAATGCTGTTCTGAAATCTCTCATCCAGTTCTTTGTAAGTTTTCACCCTCTGCAAAATGTGCCTCCATTTTTCTGCCTCATTCTCAGGGCACTTCAGAATTCCAGTGGGTGCAGAGTTTTGAGCTCATCTTACTGTTTCAAAATGGCCATGGGCGATGAACATGTCCTCTGCAGCCTCCTTGACTCCCATCACTTCCTAATCTGAAAAAGCTCCAGTGTTTTTGTGTTTTTTTAATCACCGTTCTTCTTTGTTTTCTGCCTAGGTCGTCAGCTGGTCTACTTCAAGATGGGCTCCACTTCCATTGCATCTGATCATGAGAAGACGACCTATGTGAAAGTGATCAACTGAAAGCTAGCCTGACCTACAAGTCCAATTCTGTGCAAATTTACCCAGAAGTATCTCCTATGAAGTTCAGCAAGGCTTACTCTCCAGTCGGCATGCATAGGATTGCAGCCCTAGTTGCAAGCTAGTAAAATATGACTGCGGTCAGCACGCCAATGTAGAGACTGCTGTTGTACGCAAAGAAACTGAGGATGGAGGGGGAATTGCACTATATCACTCCTTCTAATCTGCAGAGCGTGAAATCAAACCTTAAAAAGAAGAGACCAACATGACCAGGACGAATGTGCAATAGGATGACATTTTTAAGATGTGACTTGGAAGAAGCAGAATGAAATCCAAAATGTGATACACTGTGTGGCTATCTATAGGTTGCTAAAAAGGAGCAGCCACCTTTAGTGTGCTTTTCTCACTATGTATAGGGTTTGCGTAGGCTTTGGTTGGAAATTCTTGTTCATTTTCACAGTGAGTTTGGAACCTCCAGTTCAGATATTTATACAGGCAAGTACAATCACTGCAGCGTTGTTAAAAGCCTCATTGAGTTCCAAAGCTTATGATGAAACCTCCTGGGAGACAATCAGTACTTCTGTTCATTGAACCAAATATGCAAGACCAAAAATTATGGTTGTCCTTGTGCGATGGAACGCTATAGCATCTGTTAAAGTTGTCACACATTTTTCCCTACACACAAAAAGCTTGCGTTAAGTCAGCTTAAATGGATATAAATCTGCATTATTTGACTAAGAGGGGGGAAATGCAATAGTTCAAAAAGAGGACAACTTTTTAAAAAGATGATACATGTGCATGTTGCAGCAGGCATTGTTTTAGGGAAAACAATCCTCCACTCTTATGTAGGAGAGAACGGAAATCTAATTGGTTAGTTGACTAAATGTTGCAATCAGATTATCTACAGAGTCAAAAACATAGCCATTTTCCAGTTTAAAATAAACTAGCAAGATCATTGTGATGGAGGGAGGAAAAAGAGAGCCGCTTGCTACAGAGACCCAATGCGTGTGCCTGTAATTAATCAAATGGACACACTGCATCTGTCTCTATCAGTGCACCAAATGGTGCCTCAGTCCTAACTGGCTATTTACTTTTCCCATACAAGTGAATGGGAGCCATGCTCTTGGATAAAGTAGAAGGGTGTAAGACAGCATTGAGGTTAGGAGCCAACCCTACCCCTTATTGCTGTATAAAGGGAGGAAGATATTGTCCCTGCCTCAATCAGTTTTTGGCAAATGCATCCTGCTTGCATTATCCCATATCACTTAATGGGAGCCATTGACAATCAAACCTGTCCTTACCTGCACAATACTCTTGGCTTGATCCCAATAGAACAGGATAGTGGAGTACAAAGAGGCAAAACCCAGGAACTGGTTTTTGAGTAAGCTGATCAGCAGCTGTCTTAATTTGAAAGCCTGTCCCAGTTTTGTTTGCTTATCTCAAAACCAATGAGTAGTATCATCTAGGTTCGTGTGATATTTCATTACATTGGGCTAACGCAGATCGTTTGTGTTGGGTGAATTTAAAAGGCTTGGATAGTCAGGCTGAAATAGTGGGCTTTCTTGGGGACTCGATCAGGGCCAGCTCTACTGTTTGGCCCACTGAGACAGATGCCTCAGGTGGCACAGAATCTGCAGCCCCTGGCTATTCCTCCTGAGCCTCCCCAGCCATTCCACTTTGCTGCCACATGGCCTGTTCCTCATCAGACCCGCTACCTCAGGTGCAGCGAAGGCACTACTGCATCACCCAGTTGAAGTAAGATTCAGCTGCCTGTCATGTTTGCTTCTGTATGTAGAATGCCACCCTGTACTCTGTCTTGGGCAGCAAAATTCCCCAGGCCAGCTCTGACTCTGGAAGATGTTCTGGATTGCTGGTATCTCCAATGGATATGATAGGATTGCTCTATAATAGGGATGGGAAACCTGTACTCCTCCAGATGCAGGAGTTCAGCTTCCAAGGTAATCTGTGGATGGGAGTTTGAGTCCAATGATAGCTGGAGGTCCACAGGCTCCCTATCCTCGCCCTCTAGGAAGCCATGTAGATAACTCATGCTGACCAAAGTTCTGCAAATGTACGTGTTCAGAAGAACACCTGAAGGAAAACATGGCATCTGATTCGCGTATGTCGCATTGGGACTTCCACAGAGAAGTGTATCCCTGACACACCAGCAGAGCCGCTATTCAAAAAGCACAATTTTTCAGTAGTTGCGACAAAAGGTGCATTTCTGCCACTGGATCTTTTGCATTCTGAAGGTGCTGCTGCTTTCCTGTCTTTAAGAACAAATAACCTTTGACAGCAAATGAACCCGAGCCTTAATAAATGCAATAGAAATAGCAAAATCTTTTTTTTTTAATAGGCAGAGTGTGTCTAAAAATATGCTTTCAGTGAAAGCAAGCGAGAAAATGTTTAAAAGTGACAAATGTCATACTGTTTTCTAGTTTGTACATTCAGAATCTTTTGTACTTTGGTTCTTAAATTGTTTATTTTTGTAATAAAAAGAAATGAAATGGATGGACTTGTTTTTTCCGCCACTGCTGTGATTTAATCTCAATCCCTCTCTCCCCCCCCCACTCTCTTTTGTTTTTGATCTTTGATCCTTATAACTGATTTGTTCCAGAGCTGTAGATTTGGTCTGAAGGTACCTTAGGCTGCCTCATGCTGAAGCTAAGCAGGTTTGGGCCAGGTCAGTGCCTGGATGGGTGGCCGGCTGGAACCACATGCATGCTGCCTGGGGTTCCATGATGGAATACAGGCAGGAAATCAATAAAAGTGTCTTTGCTGTCTTTAATGGAACACTTCTATTCCCCTGACAGAGCTACAATTCGCAGAAAGCTTTAAGAATTAATCCCTCTGCCCAGGGAACTCTGGAAATGTATAGTGGGGCTTGTAGTCAATGAAGTTCTGCAATGAAGTATACTAATGAACCTACGTTACACACTTAGCGCTTGGACTTAAAATTGCCAACCAAATGCTTTACTTTTCCGGTTTATCACCACAACAGTTATTCACACTGGGCTTCAGTAAAGCAAATAGTTAGACAGTGCCTATATGATACTGAGCGACAGAATAATTTGGCCACGATAAGGAAATTTTGTTTGTGGCATGATTATTTTCCACCTAGTCATTTTGACACGCTGGCACCCTATTTGCAAAATTTAACAATTCCAAAATACAGATGTGCTTTCACTTACGCAAGATTGAATATTCTGCCTTCAGCTGTACGTGAGGGTCAATTTCAAAAGATTCCGCTGGAAAAACGGTTATGTCCACGTGGAGATGGCAGTATTGAGTCAGTGGCTCATGTGCTTCTGGCTTGCACTCTTTATAAAGATTTGAGGAGGGTGTTTTTTTTACCCCTCTATTGCCCATGCCTGGTCGCTCAACCATTGCTACTGTGTCCTTTCTTCTAGCAGATCAAGATAATCAGGTGACAGTTAAAACTAATTTTTTAGTAGGGGCTATTAGGATAATATCTATTATTTGATTATTCACGTAAACCTCCAAAATGTATTTTGGTATAGTTTAAGTTTTATTTTATTGATATGTGGAAATAAAGATTCTTCTGATCTGAACCTAAGTTAGTCATATCAATGGATTCCAGTGGGTCTACTCTGAGTAGGCCTGGCATTGGACATAACCCATAGGCTCTCTGCAACACTGTATCAAACCCCTTTCCCACTGTGGCATAATGTAAGAGATGGCAGGATTAAACGGTAGTCAAACTTTGGTATGGTGTGGTGCAGTGTAGTGGTTAGAGAGCTGGGCCAGGATTGGGGAGATCCAGGTTCAAATCCAAATTCAACCATGAAGCTCACTTTGAGCCAATCACGGTCTTTCAAGCCTAACCTGCCACACAAAGTTGTTGTGAGGATCAGGGAAGGGACTGTGTATGTTGCCTTGAGATCTTTGGAGGAAAGGTGGGTTATGCATGGTGTCAGCTAGCAGGTGCCAACAATTCCGCACAAGCTTAGAAATCTACGGAAACATGTTTTAGCTTGGAAACCTATGGAACAAACCAATATTTCCTTAGAATTGTGGATGGAGAAGATTGACATGAAACTTGACATGAGCCAACAGTGTGACGCGGCAGCTAAAAAAGCCAATGCAATTCTGGGCTGCATCAGTAGGAGTATAGCATCTAGATCAAGGGAAGTAATAGTGCCACTGTATTCTGCTCTGGTCAGACCTCACCTGGAGTACTGTGTCCAGTTCTGGGCACCACAGTTCAAGAAGGACACTGACAAACTGGAACGTGTCCAGAGGAGGGCAACCAAAATGGTCAAAGGCCTGGAAATGATGCCTTATGAGGAACGGCTAAGGGAGCTGGGCATGTTTAGCCTGGAGAAGAGGAGGGTAAGGGGTGATATGATAGCCATGTTCAAATATATAAAAGGATGTCACATAGAGGAGGGAGAAAGGTTGTTTTCTGCTGCTCCAGAGAAGCGGACATGGAGCAATGGATCCAAACTACAAGAAAGAAGATTCCACCTAAACATTAGGAAGAACTTCCTGACAGTAAGAGCTGTTCGACAGTGGAATTTGCTGCCAGGGAGTGTGGTGGAGTCTCCTTCTTTGGAGGTCTTTAAGCAGAGGCTTGACAACCATATGTCAGGAGTGCTCTGATGGTGTTTCCTGCTTGGCAGGGGGTTGGACTCGATGGCCCTTGTGGTCTCTTCCAACTCTATGATTCTATGATTCTAGGTGGATGTGGCAAACACATATTTGATGGACTCAAGTCGTTTCCGGCCTACTGTGGTTCCTAGGGACATCAAAATATCTATGATGCCCATAGGAAATGTACTGTAGATGCCCCAGATTGTCAGAAGCTAATCCCTTATGAAGAAAGTTTGCAGCCTTTGGGTCTTTTTAGTTTATAGAAAAGGCAAGTAATAGAGAACATGATAGAAGCCTATAAAACTAATGCGCGGAATGGTGAAAGATTCCCTGCCACCTTTGGTTTTAATGTACTTACGTGGAGGGTTGTTGTTGTTCATTTAGCTGCTGCTTTGAGTTGCCTCGGGCGAAAAAGGTGCCTATAACAAATTAAATTAAAGTAAATGGATAGAGAGTCATTTTTGTCCTCCACTAGAACTCAAGGACACCCTAGTCAACAGAGTGCTGGATGGTTCAGGGCAGAGAACAGAAAATAATTATTCACACTGTGGGTAGTTAAACGGTGGAACTCCCTTCCACAAGAGGCGGCGATAGATGCCAACTTCGATGACTTTAAAAGAGGATTAGACATATGGAGGATAAGGCTATCAGTGCCTGAACGCCAGTAACTGGAAACTACATGAGGGGAGAGTGTAATTGCACTCACTTCCTGCTTGTGGGCTCCTCACAGGCATCTGGTCAGCTACTCTGAGAGATGCTGGACTAGCTAGGCCGTTGGCCTAGTTAAGCAAGCCCTTCTGTTTTGAGAAGGATCGGTTCAGTTCACACAGGGTCCCCGGACGTTTCACCGTCTATTGATCCCTGTGCCACCACTTTATTTCTCGCTGCCACCACCCAGGCCCTACCTGGTACAATACTGAGTCCAGTCAGGGTTAAATTGGAACATAAACTTCCATTTATTTATTGCAGTTTAACAAGCATGTGGTTTCATAAATGGTATTGGTCAATTACAATCATGGGGTGCCTATCCAGACCTATAACATCCGCTACCTGCTCTCACTCACTAAACCACCTCTCAGATATTTACTTGTCTTCCTAGCTCCTAACTGTTCCTGACTCAGCTTATTTTGCTACACTAACTCAACCTACCCACAGACTCTATCCCAATTCACTCCCACTCCAACCAACTCCCAACAAACTCTCCCCTTCGCCCCTCCCAAAGCTGGTTTTATAGTCCCTCTGACTCCACCCCCTGGGTTCTGATTGGGTAACCTGTTTAAATATTTCACCTCCAGCACTCTCATATGTTAACGTCACATACTCTCACTACAGAGCACTACATGTATAGGATTTATTTGTGGTTAAAACTGTTTTTTTACATATATAGAAAAAAAATCATCTGTTTAAAGTTCTAGCTGGTTTATACATTTCCTTGGCTTCTTTTAAACAACTTCCTGCAGCTTCAAGGTAGGAAAATGAAAGAAGACACCAACTCTGCTCTAAACAATTGATCCTTGGGATAAAGGGGAGAGAAAATTCCTGAGATCGGAACACAGAGATATTATTTACAGAGAGCAAAAGGAACTGTCAACTTATGAAATGAGCAATCTGGCGGACAACTTATCGAATGGGACAGGGGGAGTGGAGGGGAAGGTGAAGTTTTGTCTCTAAGAGGCAGTGTTCTTCAGAAATGTCAGCCGTGCTCTGATTTGAAGGAGTTTAACTGCAAATTCCATTATTAGAAGACTGGGATATTCAGATGGTTGTGGAAGGGGACATTTGGAGAAATTTGTTTATTTTTGTTTATTTCATAAAATCTGTATAACGCTCGAATCTTCGGAGTACATTACAAAAAGAATAAAACAACGAAATTGTAAGTAAAAAATTAGTAGCTATCTAAAACATCCCCAAAAAGACGGAAAAATAAGCTAAAAATCAGATTAAAACATATGCCAACTTTTTAACGTCTGTATAGGCTTGTCTTAAATTTTTTTTTAGCAAGCACCAAAAATGGTACGGTCAAGGCACATGCCTGATGTCAATAGGCAGGGAATTCCAGTGTGTGGGTGCCACCACATTAAAAAATTGATTTCTTGCAGGTGTGCAATGGATATTATGCTGCACCTGTAGCAGTTTCAGTTCTCCTTGTCCCCCAAAGTCCCTTTAGTGCTTCAGTTAGGGAAGCCCTACTCATGGGTTCATCTTCTGTGCTCAATCAACACACAAAGAGCAAGGATGAGTATGCTAGCTCTGCTACACTTCCATGAGCTGGAGGGCATTCAGCTGAGGTGGGGACCCTGCGGCACCCATGGAAGGTCCTGCAGGATGTACAACCCTGATATTCCAGACTTCAGACAGTCACCTTCCAGCTTGAGGAGACGAATAGAGGCACTCCTGCGAGGAGGAGGGAGCTAGAGTGCTCATCCCCCCTTTCTCTGTTCATGCGGCTGATTTAACACAGAAGACTGAAGAGGGCTGGAGCACCATTCAAAACTGCAGCGCCCAAATGGATTGCATTCATTAGTTTCAACGTTCTCCTCTGGTATCTGTTTCAGCTGCAATCACCACTCCTGAGCCACTCTATTCATCCTGCTTCTCTTTCTGTGGTCACAAAACCACATGCTATAGGTTAATGTTTAACAGAAGTCTATTTTCAAAACCAGTATCTTTTGAAAATAAGCTTGTAAGTTCAAAGAGCATTCAGCATGTCACAGACTTTGGGCTTCTTGTTCGTGGTTGTTTCTCTACTATCCAATCGGTGGTAAACTAAATCTATGCATTCATAGGTTTGCCCCAAGACTCAGTTGAGAGGGTGGGGCAGGGGTCATACATGCACTGAAAGAGGGCCGGATCGTGGAACACCCTCCTGTCAGATGTCAAAGAGATAAATAATCATATGACCTTCTATAGACATCTGAAGGCAGCCCTGAATCAGGACGCTTTTAATGTGTGATATTCTGTGGTATTGTTGTTTTGTATATTACGTTGGAAGCCACGCTGTTTAGGGAAGTTTTTAATATTTAATGCTGTATTGTTTTTAACACCCGATTGGGAGCTGCCCAGAGTGGCTGCGGAAACTCAGCCAAATAATAACTTCTTCTTCTTCCTCTTCTTCTTATTATTATTTGAGCAACCCAGTCAGATGGGCAGCATACAAAAACCATGTGGTGGTGGTTCTTCTTTTTCTTCTTCTTCTTCTTCTTCTTCTTCTTCTTCTTCTTCTTCTTCCTCTTCCTCTTCCTCTTCCTCTTCCTCTTCCTTTTCTTCTAGCCTTAGCCCTCCCTTGGTCTCATTTCACAGCAACTGATGCTCAGAGGCGTATTACTTCTCAAAAAGTGACGTTAATAAACTAAGTGACGTAATGGAACAACTGACCAGGGATATGTCTTGCTCAGCACTATGGAAGTTGAGGGATGTAAGAAGAATTCTGTGGGCTCAGGCCCATCTAGTCCAGCTTCCTGGTCTCACGTTGGCCAACAGCATCCCGGGGGGGGGGGGGGTGTGTCACAAGCAGGACCAAGAAGCTCAAGGTGGAGTACATGATTCTCCTCCTATATCAAGGACTGGCTGGAAGCAGAGGAGTGGTGGGAGGCACCTGCCAGGGAACCCCCAAGAGAAACCCCAGAGGAGGAAGGCTCAGAGCTACGGGATTGGCGGTGGTGGAGGAGAGGTCTGAGGGAGAAGATTAGAAGGAGGGTGTTAAGTTGTGGGTGAACATATCAGACGACACAGTGATTCTTCAAACAGCTCTTGTTTATTCACAGGCCAGAACAGAACTGAACTGAACTGAACTGAAGGGTTCAGCCAGCCTGCTTATATAGAGCTCCACTAGAACGCAACAGTAACCATTTTCTGTAACTATCCAATCACTGAACATCACTTTCAATCGCTTATTTGCATATGTGGACCTGAGTGAAAACTATCTACAGTATCCCCCTGCTAGCCCAGGGTGAGA